CCGTGTCTGTCAAGAGTGGAATTTGGGCAGCCCTGTGCGAATAGATAGATCCAGCTACCACTTTCTGCGCAAATTGTAATGAAAAGGAAGCTCAGTGATCAATGGCTGGAAGTAGGTATGTAGATGGTCTTTTTTTCAACGACCCACATTGCTGCGTGGCGGGGATCGGGTGCTTATAATAAGTGAGTGTCGGTGTAAGCTAGGCAGAAGATAATCATCAAGGATGTGGAGGCTAAGAGAGAATGGGACAAGGGCGAGTTAGGCTTGAAAGAGCATGCCTGAAAACTGCGATTAATAATGAAGGGCAGTAGGACTGGAGAGACCATATAATAGGCGCTCTGCCTGGGTGGAGCAGGATGTGTGGCTTGAGACAGATGGTGCTGTGCCAATGAGCCATTTCCGTCTCCTGGACGGTGTACGTAGCACACACCTATGCAGTGCGATGGCATGTCCACCTAAATTCTAATGTCTCCGTGGCCTTGGAATAGTTGATTGGGCGGGGGGCCGGATAGCTGGCGCTCACTTGCTTTAAGATCTAGATTGAGTTATACAATTGTGCCTCGGCAGACGGAGCCCGCTCTATGTGGGATAGTATCGAATGCCCAGAGGTCCAAAAGCCATGCCATTTGAACGAGATGAAGCCATTTGTGAGATGACCAACATAGAAGCCGATAGTTCTTGTTAGGTCTGCCCAATTCGGCAATGGAAGGCTCTTCCCGAGACATCGACCGTAGTGGTGAGCGAGCGCCGAGTCCCACTTCACCTCAGGAACGAGCTGGATTGTTGGATTATGGGGGAGGAGCCTGCTGTCATGTGGGACTGGCGCCCCCGAAAACGGACTGGACGCAGGCGTTGATTGGTATCTTTCTTTGAAGGCTGCTGTGTGTGGGAGTTCGGGATATGTCGTGATTTTGACCAAGCATGCGGCGGCTTTTTGAGGAGCTCTGGTGAGGGATAAACCGGAAACTGGCGCAGTGGTTGCTTGGAGCTTCGTATAGCTGATGCCTCTGTGGCGCGCCATAACGTGAATTGGACTCCGAATGACGATATTGTTGATAGGTTCTGGGGCTGTTCCGCCCAACAAGTGTGTGGACGGGTGGATCGATTGCGGCTGGCAATAGCGCTGCTGCCGATCACATCCTCCGGCATCCACGGCGTTTATGTATGATTACCCTTTCGCTGGGATTCAGCAAGACTCCCGGAGACGGCATGTAAGAAGGAGCAACTCGAGCGCCGAACGACTATAAGACGTCTTGCCCGGTGTCGGACAGCGGATGAGATTTTCATCCTTTGGCACCACGGTGGCAGTCGGGGGTATGACATTCATCCTCCCCCGCTTGTCACTTTGTCACTGTCTCCATCATGGTTGAATTGCCCCATGCTGACAGTGATTCCTTGCCTCTCTCATCCTCCCTTATCGAGCCTTAAGTGCCTACATATATCCAATTGTGCCGCTCGGATGTAGTGGTTGCGATTTGGCCAGGAGGAAGAGCACTTGCAAAAGAGCCGCCAGGCCATATACCTCGTGCGATGCCCTTTCTAGTAAGTCTTGTTGACCTAGACAGAGTAACTCAACAGCGAGAATCTCTGGATACTGCAGCCGTCAATTTACCGTCGAGCTGCCTTGCTGCTGCGCGTGCCATGACGACGCTCGATAACGATATGCGCATCGTTCTTGTATGCCCAATTTGGAAGGTCAGCCACCAATGAACATCCACGATCCCGTTGAGAAAGATACTGGCCCTCATCCTTTTAATACGAGAGAGGCAAGAGGAACAGTCACGGCGATTGATCTCTCGAGGTTCTTCAAGGAATGTTGTGTTTGCCTGCCTAAAAATTAGTGCGTGCAGATCAATGTTTCAGTGGTAAATGCCAGGCACTGGCGCCACTAGCTGGACCTGTAATTCGCCACTGTATTGCCGCACTAGAGCTAACAACAATTGTCTGATGGCATCTAACCTTACATCTCTTGTGTATGGGTGTTGGTATGCGTCCTTCCTTCAATGCAACGTGAAATAGAATCAACTCATGGACAGCCTCCGCCTCGTAAACGAGCCAAAGGGCCGGTAAGGCCATAACTTCTAATCGATCTGATGTGCAGGGTCTTTTTGTCACCGGCTGCTCGGCAGGGGACGCCAGGTTAACATAGGCAGCTCGCAGTGCCCCGAGCAACACGGCCACAGCATCGGGACCTTCCAATTGAGGTGCGATCTGTCTGTCAAGGCCTTTTGAAATACAGAATGGTTACACCCACTATCCATGCTGGTCTGCCTGCATTGATTGAGCCGTGCCTATCGCATGCGTCCCACCTATCAAAGAAATCGCCGACCCCATTTGCTCACCTTGTTTCCCGGTGGGTTGTAGTAGACAAATAGCACCACAATCAATGCACCGCAAAGGTTCCGTCTGGGGTCTCAGATCGGCGTTTTCTGATGCTGTGTATAAATACGCCGTGTGTCACCCTCTGGGAATGCCGTGAACTCTCCATCAACCCGGTTTGTTATCCTTGACAATTGTAGCCATGGTTCGCGGGCTGTTCCTTGGGCTCGCCGCCCTGATCTCCCCCACGATCGCATTGAGGGCTCTCCCCATCCCCATCAGTGAACTTGCAAAACAGGTTGGTCTCACATAGCAGATAGCTGCTTTCTGTAGTCTCTTGCTGCTACAGAGCCCGGGGAATAAAACAGTTACTGACCATAGTTGTTTATTCAAAATTAGGTTAGAGCTCCTGGTGGTAGTCAGATCCGAGAGGCGACTTACCAAGAGTACAACCTTTCGGTGCCCATTGATCACTTCCATAATGACACCAAGTATGCGCCTCACTCAAACGGAACTTTCAATCTGAGATATTGGTTCGATCCCCAGTTCTACAAGCCTGGTGGCCCAGTCTTTGTTCTGGGTGGTGGCGAGACGGACGGAGCAGACCGTCTGCCCTTCCTGGAGAAAGGAATTGTCAACGAGGTGGCAAAAGCAACCAATGGCCTGGGAGTTATTCTCGAGCACCGATATTACGGAAGTAGTATTCCAGTCCCGGACTTCAGCACCGAGAATCTCCGATTCTTGACGACTGAGCAGGCCTTGGCTGACACGGCCTACTTCGCTAAGAACGTTGTCTTCGAGGGTCTGGAGGATGTCAGCTTCAGTCCCGAGAAGGTCCCCTGGATCGCCTACGGCGGCTCCTACGCAGGCGGCTTTGTCGCATTCCTCCGCGTCCTGTACCCGGATGTCTTCTTTGGCGCTATCTCGTCTTCCGGTGTTGTCGAGGCCATCTGGGACTATTGGGAGTACTTTGAGGGCGCTCGACTCTACGCGCCCGAGGGATGCTCCGACACAACCGGCAAGCTGGTCAACATCGTGGACAACATCCTCACCAAGGAGGAGAATTCCAAATACATCAGCTCGTTGAAGAAGGTCTTTGGATATTCGGATTCCACCTCCAACGTGGACTTCGCCTACAACATTGCCAACGGAATCTACAGCCTGCAGAGCGTGAACTGGGATCCTGCCATTAGTGACGACTATTTCTTCACATACTGCAAGGCTGTAGTTACTGATAAGAACAACTACACTTCTCTGGAACCCATCCGCGACACAGTCAAGGAGTTTGTCATTGCTGGTGGCTGGGAGTCTGAGGTAGACCCGCTGACTGATCGTTTCCTCAACTGGATCGGAGTTCTCGGAAACACGAATGCTGAGGTTGATGAAGTCGGCTTTTACGCGCAAGACGACCTTTCACAAACCTGGAGACTTTGGCCGTACCAGGTCTGCACAGAGTAAGTTTGCCCACTGTCTCCTTCTACTCTTCGCCGCTCATCAACTAACCTCGAATCAATAGGTGGGGCTATCTCCAAACAGGATCTGGCGCACCAGCCGACATCTTGCCCATGATGTCTCGGCTCGTGGATCTGGAGTATTCGTCGCAGATCTGCAAAGACGCCTTCAACATCACGGGGGTTGCCAACCTCGAGGCCATCAACAAGTACGGCGGATTCGGTATTTCCTACCACCGCCTCGCTTTCCTCGACGGCGAGTGGGATCCCTGGAGGGCAGCAGGCGTCAACGCGTTGACCCAGCCCAAGCGTAATTCAACCACAGCCGAGCCAGTGATTCTCATCGACGATGCTGTGCACCATTGGGACGAGAACGGAGTATACCCCGAGGAGGTTACTCCTGACTTCCCTCCCAAGGCCGTCCAGGCCGCCAAGCAGGAGATTAGGGAGTTTGTTGCTGAATGGCTCAAAGAGTTTAAGCCCAAGTGCAAGAGATCTGAGTAGGAATGGGTTATAACCCGCAGTGTATGCCTGAATCATGAATAATAAACCCGTTTAACAAACTAACTCATGCACAACCGTTTTGCCGTTGCTAGGCCAAAGTCTCTTTGCTTGTGTGTGCCCCAACTAGGTAATAACACGGGATTGGCTGCCTCTCATGGTCGAAAGGGGCTACCGTGACGGGAATCTTATTGCATGACCGTCTCATCCACCTTGTCAATGGTCACAAGGACATCTCGCATTACCAATCGCATGCCTCTGCTCAAGTTGGAGGCGGGTCTGATTGCTTTCATGTGTTTCTTGTGGGGTTCATCTGCCCATTGAACAATAGAAACGGTCGAGAAGACGTCATGGGAGCCAATGGAAGAAGCCCAAGCTGCCCCGTCCCGGCAGAATAGAGGCAGAGTTCCGGGAGATCGTCGGTCGGAAAAACCCTGGAGTTTCAACGGCCCCGTATTTTGCTATTCCAGGCCCCGGAAAGCTCGTCTTGGAGGGAAAAACTGCGGATAGAGGCCCAGTAATTCTCCGGACAACGGGGAAGCACCCCGGTTCCGAGCAGTATTGGTGTTCTGGTTGACAAGTCGATGGAAATCTGGCCCTCTAGCTGTTCCTTGGTAACTCCTCAATGGAGTCCATAAAAGGCCTCGTTGGCCCAGGGAGGGTTGGGGATTGCCTCACCCTCTCTTTACTATTGCCGTTCTGATATCCCATTGCTCTGTTTGGCTCAAGATGGCTCCTACCGACGTCAATGCTGTGCTGTCCAAGCTGACGCTAGAGGAGAAGGTAAGTTTTGGGCACTTGTACCGTGCATCTCCTTTTTTAAGAACAAGCTGTACTAATGGTGTGGTGAAAGATTTCTATCCTTGCTGGTGCTGACTTCTGGCAAACCGTCCCCATCCCAGAGAAAGGAGTCCCGGCTCTCAAGGTTCGTGTCAACTCATTTCCAACAACGCCACCATTCAATTATTAACATGAACAAGACTAGCGATGGACCTAATGGTGCCCGCGGAGAGACCTTCTCCGGGGGTGTGACAGCCGCCTGCTTCCCCGCTGCTTGCAGTGTCGCCTCCACATTTGATGTTGACATTGCTCGGCGAATCGGTGTTGCTTTGGGAGAGGAGACTCTCACCAAGGGTGCTCGATGCCTTCTTGGCCCTACTATCTGTGGCCACCGTCATCCCCTTGGTGGCCGAAACTTCGAGAGTTTCTCAGAGGACCCATTTCTCGCGGGCACGCTTGCTTCGCAGAGCATCCAGGGCATTCAGTCCACAGGAGTTGCTGCCACGATGAAACATTATGCTGTCAATGAGCAAGAGACTGAGCGTTTGAGCGTAGACGAGATTGTTGATGAGCGTACTCTGCGTGAGATTTACCTGAGGCCCTTTGAGAGGGTTGTTAAGGAGGCCAAGCCCGCGGCCGTCATGACTGGTTACAACAAGGTCAACGGAAGCCACTGTGACTCTCACGAATTCCTCTTAAAACAGGTCCTGCGAGGCGAATGGGGATGGGACGGTCTCGTCATGAGTGATTGGGGTGGTGTCAACTCTGTCGCCGAATCTCTGAACGCCGGCCTGGATCTTGAGATGCCGGGCCCTACTCGATGGCGAAAGGTTGACGAGGTGGTTGCTGCTGTCAAGGCTGGAAAGGTTTCAGAGGAAACTATTAACGACCGCGCCATCCACGTTCTTCGCTTCCTCGAGCGCCAGAATTGCTTCAGCGACCCTACCATCCCTCCTGAGAAGGCCGTGAACAAGCCCGAGCACCAGGCTCTTATCCGCGAGGCTGGTTCCAAGGGAATCGTGCTCCTGAAGAACAACGACAACGTTCTGCCCCTGACCAAGGAAAAGGCGCGGGGTAAGAAGATCGCCCTGCTTGGCCTTGCTAAGGAGTCTCTTGCACATGGAGGTGGCAGTGCCTCTTTGAACGCGCACTACAAGATCACTCCTTGGGATGCTCTTCAAGAGGCCTTCAAGGGCGAAAACGTCGAGTTCACGCAGGCCAAGGGTGCCCACACTTTAAGGCAGCTCCCCGTGATTACGAACAATGTAGTCGACGCAGATGGCAAGCCTGGCTTTACCTGGCGCTCATACCACGTTGGCGAGTCACAGCCCTACAACACTGTCGGTGGCCATGGCAAGTCTGAGGTTTCGTTGCTGGACGGCTTGAACATCGTCAACACCGGCATTGAGCTTGATGGAACCTTTACCGCCTCCGAATCTGCTACCTACTACTTTACTCTCAGCGGCCTTGGCCCCTCTAGTGTGGCCATCAACGGTACAGTCATCTTTGAGCAGGAGGACAACTGCTCAGACCCGATGGGTTTCCTGCTCGGCGGTGTCGCATCCCCCTTGGTCAAGTACGAGTTTGAGTCCGGAAAGCAGTATAAGATCCTCATCAAGAGTACACCCCCGGCCCCTGTCGAGGGTGTCGATCTCGGCATCCTCGAGGGCAAGGTCGGTGTGAGACTTGGAAACATGTCAGCGTCCGAGCACGACAAGGATATCCTCACGGAAGCCATCGAGCTGGCCAAGGCAGCCGACTACGCGATCGTGTTCACTGGCCACGACCCTTCCTGGGAGACCGAGGGTCAGGACCAGCACAGCTTCAACCTTCCCAAGGATGGCAGCCAAGACCGCCTGGTGTCCGGCGTCGCCGCTGTCAACCAGAACACCATCGTCGTGAACTCGACTGGTGTGGCTGTCGCCATGCCCTGGCTCGACGAGATCAAGTCTTTGGTCCATACCTGGTTCCCCGGACAAGAAGCTGGCAACTCCATTGCCGACGTCCTCACTGGTGAACGAAACCCGGAGGGTCACCTTACCTGCACATTCCCCAAGCGCCTGGAAGATTCTCCCGCTTATGGAAATTTCCCTGGCGAGTACAACGGCCGTCAACTTACCGTCAAGTATGCCGAGGGCGTCTTCGTTGGATACAGACATTTCGATCGCTTGCCCGCGGAGAAGGTCAACTTCCCCTTTGGTTTCGGCCTCTCCTACACGACCTTCGGCTTCTCTGACCTTGATGTCAAGCTGGCTGCCGGTGACGAGTGGACTGCTAGCGTCAAGGTGACCAACACAGGCTCGGTCAAGGGTGCCATTGCCGTTCAGCTTTATGTTGGCAACAGTAAGACCTCTCCCGAAAACCCTGTCAAGTCTCTAGTCAGCTTCAAGAAGGTGACCCTGGCCGCCGGAGGATCCGCGGTAGTCGAGCTACCAGCCCGGGGCCGTGACATTGCGTTCTGGAGCCAAAAGGAGCAGAAGTGGGTGCTCGAGGCGGGCGAGTATAATTTCAGCGTCGGGAAGAGCGCGGGTGATCTGGTGGCAACAGCCACGGTGCAGGTCGGTGGCAAGACGTATGCGCCTTAGAGGCTGCGGAAGATCCTCGCGGATGGAAATAGAAAGCGATAGATCATGATGTGACGAGACTGGGAGCTGGGGGCGCTGTACATACAAGGGATAGAATACAGTTCAAGAGCGTACTATTGGAATTGCCTCCTCCTCCGATTATAGATCCGATGTTGCATGGGATGGATTCGCATTGGCCTGACGTACGTCGCGGATAATAACTGAGTTTGCTATCAGCTCGGTGATATCATGCCACGCGATGCAGAGCCAATCTCCCGGCTCTTAAAAATACTCTAGCGCCCCTCCCATCCCCCCAAACAGGTCCGTTAAGGGCTGGTTGGTCTTATCATCCTCATTATCATTTGGTGAAATTTGAACAGGATGGGATTTTGGGCTGCCAGACGCGGCGAGGCAGAATGGCGACACCGACGCCGGCTGGCCTAAAACCTTGACCGCCAAGGTTGGCCGATGGAAGGCGAGCAGAGAAGAAAAAGCAAACAAGACGCAGGTATTGAACGGCTGGGTTGACCGCATCCATCCATCTGCTTGTTCTCTCCACAACCAAGGTTCTTTTCCCATTTGAGCGTGGGCGCAGAGGCACGGCTGGGAGCTTGAGCTGCCACTTTGTCTTGGACACACGCCCCCTGGCTCGGAGCAGAGCCCGTATTCCATTTCTCCATGGTTTTCTGACGAAGCCTGTAGTCAATCGCTGCGCCAATGAGCGCATGCAGCAGCGGGAATCTGCAGCATGTACCTGCTTGAGCATTGGTCCCATCAAGCCTCCCCTCGACGAATGGCTCGCCGTGATTCGTACGGGCCCTCTGCAGCTGGACGGGCGATGATGCTGTGCTGCAGCGTGCCGGTCGGCGGGTGGATTAGTGGGTGGATGGCACCCTCAACTCTGGCGCGTACTGGCACCCACCTGGGTTTCAGCCAGCCTGGCGGTAACGGCTCTCACCAGGGTCAAGTCAAAGCTTCATGCTGCTAAATTGGCACAATGGCACTAGCATCGTGTTGGCCGCTCCAGGTACCGGTCTTGTTGCGCTTCCGCACCCGGTTTCAAGCCACGGCCCAGACTCAGACTCAGACTTTGACTCGCCTTCCTACTCTGTTGTAGGCCAGAAATGGAGGTTGGGTGTCGTGTCTTCGCCCAACGCAACAAGGCAATTTCAACCCCAGAAGATCCTCCCCCCTCTTTCCCGTTCCGAGCCATGCATGATGCCCAACCAAAGCTGTGATGTGATGTGAGCGCGCACACTGCATCTTCCCGACCCCGAATCCTTGGCCGCCCAGGTACGTGAGCCGGGATGCCAACACCCACAGGCCCATTCATGGCTGAAGGTTCAGACTTGCAGGCTCCTCTATCAGTCCCATTGCAGCCTCGATGTTTGCCGATTCGTCGAGGTGGGCCACTGCCTGCCTGGGATCTGGATTCCTGCATGGGAGGCACAAGCCCGGTCGTGGTACAGTTTCCGTGAGGCCTAGCTCATTACGGCACCTTCTCCATAACGACCTGAGCCCCAGCCAGAATTCAAGCGAGCAACTGGTTGCCCGTGCTTGCTTTTTTTTTTTCGCCTCCCTTCCACCCACCCCCCGAACGACGACAAGGGCCCTCATTCTATTTTGCTGGGAGAAGGGAGGGGGGAGAGCAGGTCCAATTTTCAAAGTCTATTTCTCGTCCATGAGCTAGCTTTTTTGCTTTTTGCCTTCTCTCCTTTCGCATTGAATCCGTGAGCTCGAATTGCGCCGAAGCTTCTACGCTATTCAGCAGCTCTCGTTCGTGTAGCGCCTCAGGCAAGCAGTCTCCGAGCCCGCAGTCACATCACGCACCAACTGCATATCGATTGTCCGAGTTCGTCCAGCATCATCGCATATCGATCCCCCCCTTTTGGAAACCAGGACAAAGCAACGTTTTCCCCCACGTCAAGCCTTGCTTAACTACTTCATTGCTAGTAGCTAGGCCAACACAGCCTGTTGGCCGTTCATCCGTCACCTCCCAGCCGGGTTTTCTAATACTACGGAATACTTCGAGAATACCACCCAAGACTCTCACGAATTTCGCTGCTCAGGGCCCCCACGATGCAGGCGCAAAACGAACAGCCGCCGGTCCCTATCTCAATCACGATTTGCGGCGATGGGGGCTGCGGTAAATCGTCCATCACATTGCGCCTTGTGCGCTCCCAATGGATCTCGGAGTATGATCCTACTATAGAGGATTCGTACAGTCTCACCCGTCGCATCGATGGCACAACATATCATCTCTCCATTACGGATACGGCCGGCCAGGAGGAATATAGGGGCATGTGGGCGTCCTCTAACCTGGGTGCCGACGCTTTCCTCATGGTTTACGATATTACTTCGGCGCATTCTCTCGATGCCTTGGAATACTTCGACGACCTCGTCAACATTGAGTCGGACACTCGCCTTGAAAACGCAGACCGGGCCAAGCTTGCTGGCATCAAGCCTTCTTCGCAAGGGACATCTGCATTTGGCCGCGGTTCAAACAAGATGGTTCCTCCCGTGAAGATGGTAGTCGGCAATAAGTGCGATCTTCAAGACGCCCGCCAAGTTCCGGCATCTCAAGGCTTGGAGTGGGCGCGCAAACGAGGTTGTGGATTCATGGAGACCAGTGCAAGATTGGAGGTGAACATTGAAGAGACTTTTGCGCTCATCATTCGTCGAGTGATGGAGGCTCGCCGTTTGGCCGAGGACGAGACGGACGACGCCAATGCTATGGGCATGACCAAGCCTTTGAGTCCGCTACCAAATGACGGAGATCCCGAAAAACGAGGCCCTGGTGTGAGAGGTCCCAAGCTACAAGGAGACAATACACACGGCAGCTTCTGGAGGAGCTTGCGATGTTGGTAATCTGCAAACCAACCGCCATATCTCAGCATACTGAGATACTACTGGGATTTTCCCCAGCAAAGAGCATATAAAGCAATCTTGATATCCCCCCCTTGCGTTCGTTAATTTTGGTTACCCCTTTCATTCGCTTGTTTATATCTTTTTATATCTGTCTTGGGACTTGTTTTTATTACTCATACGTGGAAGGGTTATGGCAATGAACATTTGGCGTCATGGATATATTGTATTGATTGTGAGAAGCAGTCTACATTTGGGAGCATGATATAATTTTCTCTCTATTTTCCTGATGGCCGCTGTCTGCCTCCCAACACGGATCGTCCCGTCTCGTCCCGTCTCGTCCCCACCTTTCTCGATGTCATGATACTGGCGGCTCCAGAGTGGTATTGTGCCAGATGCGTGGCTGCCCAAGTCACCCTCCCAAACTGCAAGGGGAATTACCTACCTCGATGGTCAATCCGATGGAACCCTCCAAGTTTTCAGATACAACGCTGAGGGGAGGTGGATATACAAGCACACCTGTGTGGGCTGAGCAGTGTGATGATGGTGCATATTATTGTTTATCCACTCACTCCCCCTCGGGTGCTATCCTTGCAGATCAATAAACTCTAAATGGTGAGACTTGGGAGACGAGGTTACAACGCAAAAAAGAGAAGTGTATTCTTGATGAGAAATCTCATGACATCTAGTAACCTTGACCTCTTTAGAGAGAAGGAAAGAAAGAAGAGAAGAAAAAAAAAAGCAAACATAAACACTCAAACGCTGAAAATGCTGCGAAATTACAAAACTAATGCTGTCATCCAAACGCCGGCTTCGGAAAATCCAAAAGAAGAGAAACAAACAAGAATCTAGCCGGCTCTGTCCTACCCATCTTGCCCTGAAGTTGGGGATTTCTTTTTTAAGTCATTTGTCTTCATAATCGATCTTTATGGGGGGGGGGGGGGGTCGTCATGGCTTCTGCCACTTGGGCTCCAAGCCGCTGTCCTGGGACACCCGGGTCTCATCGCCCAGGCTGCTCCTCCTCTCGCTCCCTAGGAGGGTCTCTCTGTCTCGCTCGTCGCGCGTGGCCTCGTCCTCCTCGGGCACCGCGACTAGCACGTGGTCGCTGGCCCAGCTTGGTGCCCGCGGGGTGCTGGTGGCACGCGGTCTACCGCCCGGCTGCTGGATGGAGTCCTCGTAGCTGACGGGTTCCAGGAGCGGGCTGTTCCAGCTCATGTGCTTGGCCTTGACTCTCTCGACGTCGGTCTTGGACTCGAGAGATACGGACCTGCGGCGGGCCAGGTACTCCTCGAACTGGGTGTCGCGCTCGTGGCTGTAGTAGCTCGGGGTGCGCTTGATGGGCTCCATTATGACGGGGTTATCGGATGTGCGGGTTGAGCTGAAGCTGAGGCGGTTGGTTGCGCTCGAGACGCGCCTCTCGATGGTGGGAAGGATGTCCTTGGCGGGAGGGTGGAGGGTGGGGTCCTGGTCCTCCTCGTCGTTGAACCCATATGACTTGGCGTTGACGTGGTGCGGGTGGTCCTCGAATGCGGTGGCACGGCGGTAGACGCGGATGGAGTAAACGGTGAGGGAGAGGCTGGTGACCCTATCATGGTGTTAGTCGAAACCGTGCTGTTCTCGCCGTGTAGAGCGTACAAAACTTACAGTAGGACGGCGTCAAGCCCAAGACCGACGAGAGAATAGTGGTTGGCGGCGCCCTTGACGTATACTGCAATATCGAGGCCCAGCAAGGCACAGGCACACACCACCTTGATAGTGTGGGTGAAGAGCATCATGCGTGCCGTCAAGGCTTCGGCCATGTACCTCGCGATCTCGACCAAAGTGCATATTGCCCCCAACGATGATAGAGCGATGCTCGTAGCCGCCCATCTAATGAATAAACTGTTAGAAGCCTATCCATGAAACAAGGCAGTAGTTGAGTTTAAGGGGGAAATCAACCTACCCAATCTCGAGTTGGCGTGGCAGATCCTCCTTCTCCTCCTCCTCCTCCTTGCCCTGAGCCCGAAAGCACTCGCCCAGCCTGTACGAAAAGACACCGGCGATGGTCAGAGCAAGAGCCAGCTGGAAAGCCCAGAAGGGGGCCAAGATGAGGAGGCGCCATTTAGCCCGTTGGAACTGGGCTTGCGATCTGTGGCTCGGCATGTCTGGCTTTCTGCCGAACGTGCTTCTATCAATGTCCCGGGGGGGTTTGAGGAGAGAAAAAGCAGTGACACGGGGGGAACTCTGTTTCGAGCTGTCACCTAGTCATGTATCATGCCGTATCACACAGTGAGGAGAGCGCCCTAGACGTGCAGGTAGGAGACGTGTCGAATCAAATTAGCCAAACCGTCCGCCAGGCACTGCGCCATCGTCACCAGGCGGCAGCCCCAAGGCCTTTTATCCTCTAGGCCAATGGGTTTTCCGGTTACCCACTAGGACGTGCCCTCAAGTGCGCCGCCACCGGCCAGGCCAGGGTCGGCCACCTGTTTGTGAATTGAGTCCCGAAGGGGGGACGCATGGTGCCATATCACGGACCTTGGCCTGTCAGCCGCAGCGCGCGGTGTTTCGAGACCTTTGGGCAGTTAGCCCCAGAGCAGACGGGGCTGATGCGGCTAGATGGATTGAAGGACGCTTTAACGACTAGGGGACTGGGAGCTACATGGCAGATCGCTTAGCTGCCAGACTATGTGAAGCGGGCGAGGGCATGGCGGCCAATGCCATTGGCACTAGCTTCTGCACGCACGTTCTAGGTCCCAGGAGGATGGTCTGGCAATTGGCTCCCTGCCCACCATCTATTTTCTTCTGCATCAGCAGGGCGCTTCAAGGACCCCTTCATTGGGGGCAAGTAAGTAGAGTGGCTGGAGGGGGTTGTGCCCGGGAGGGAAAAGCATGGCAGGACGTGCTGGCAACCTGATGCTCATGCAGTTTGATGCAGGCAACAGCCGCCACAACAATACACAGCAGTCATCAATCATTCAGGTGCAATAATAAGCGGTGGGCCGGCTGGCGCACTTGGTTGGCTGGCAGGCCTCTCAGCTTGGGTCTTGGACCTCTTGAGTCGGGCGGCGGATCAATCAATCTTGCTCGATCCACCGCGAGCATTAGCATTCGCCCTCTTCATCTTCACCGTCCTTGCCGTCATCTCTCACAAGGCTCTCTTGGGGCTTGGAGATCCACAGGAACCCCCGCACTGTCAGCCCTGTTGCGGAACTAACCAGCTCGTGGGCCGGTTGTGATAGGCCAGAGCGTGAAGCTCAAGGACTTGTGAGATGCGTGAGACCTTTGAGCTAGGTTAGTTCCCCTCCAAGTGTGGCTATGCAGGCCCGCGGCATGGCACAGCTCCATTCAATTCATTCGGCTGAGTTGGCGTGGATAAAAATAGTTGCCGATCACCCTCAACTTTTTTTTTGACGGGCCACAGCACAGCACGTAGGCCAAGCGCTGGTAGGACCTGCAGAGAGCCGTAGCCAAGATAGTTTCATAGCCAACCAAATATTTCTTGTGCCGCCAAAGGGCTCGCTCTCCACTTCATTCGCGGCCTCCTCAAGCACTCCGATGCGGAGGAGCAAATGCAAGTCTGACCGAATCCGTATGCTGTTGATCGTTTTTGCTGCTGTTGGTTCTGAGTACTACAAACATGTAATGCGCTGGTCGTGGCATGACCTGCGTAGTCAGTCTGACAATTACCCGCCCTGGCACTCCATGAAGCCAGACGCTCAACAATACAGCTTCAAGTGCTTCAATAGAAGTAACCCTCCCCTGCTACCATTGTGCATTTCATGGTTTGCGCCGGAAGCAGCCCGCGAAAGCGTTGGGACCAGATGTAACCAAGTCCCCAGCCTTGTGCACCCGAACATCGGATATTTTTGGACTGTACTACCGTAGCGTATAGCAGACTTTCTGGGATGCTGACGCTACGCTTGACGATCCCGTCAATACTTACATGGTGTCACTCCATGTAAGAGCGCCGCCACAAGGGGTTCCGCTGTGTATACATCCCTGGCTCTCAGGCCGGCCCTGTAGGCTGTGGGTGCCAAAAGTTACTATTAATCACAATGCCGGGAACGCAATGACGGTATACAGATTACCTTGAATACATTTGCTGACAGCCTGGGATGGTTCATTTAGACCCCAAGCAGGGACTGCCGGCTCTGCTGACCCCAGCCTCTCTGACTTGAGCAACTTGAGCGGGGATCGCAAGACGTTAGGCTTGAAACAGGACGATGAACTTGAATATCTTGCAAGCCGTGCCAAATTAAAAGAACTTCCGCGCACATGGCCCCGTCAAAAGAGGACCCTTACCTGTCACGCTACGCTCCGGAGTCCGGGGGTGTCATGGCTTGGCATCAAGAGGCATAGCGTCTTGAAAGAAGAAAGAGATTCGCCTCACCAAAACACCCAAAAAAAGAAAAACACATCTTGTCAGCTTAGCACTAATCTCAAACTCTACTCTTGATAATAATATGACAGGCGTGTGGTATACGGAGTCCGCTGGAGACGCATGCATCCACGAAAGGCCACAACCTGCGAATGTGACAGACATCAGCAGAGCGCGAACCAGCCTCTGTGTGCTGGCAAGGCAAACTTTGTCCACTCTTTGTCTCTGCCAGCTTCATTTTAGGCGCTTGTCTTACTCTTTGAGGGTGATTTGCCATGAGATTTGACGAGTCTGAACTGACAAGCTGCGGTTTTGCGCTCGCTCCACCCTTCATTGGGTTACGTGTTTCTGACTTCGACAACAAGCGGTCTATCTGCATGTCCAATGCCCAATATCCCACATCCTACTCTTTCTCTTTAGGCACAATTCGAAGCATACCACAATATTGAAAGTATGCATGCATAACGACCCACTAACTGAAGTTCTTGAACTTATATTAAGCGTATTCACCACCAAACCGGCACAGACTTGGAGGGAACTGTTAAATGATTTGCTCTGGTAATTGACAAAACACGATTTGAGGAATCTGTCTTTCACTGCAGGAACTGCCCATGCCTCTGATCTTTAACTTCTTTTCTCCTCTATCCCCTTTCATCGTCTACTCTTGATGACAGATGTTTTAATTCATAACTCTCAAATTTCCACAAGAAAGCGCCCAGCATATCTCTCATATTCATGTTTATGCTCTTTCGGGTTATGATTGTAGAGAGAGACGATGTATGCATACTATTGCTTCAGTCCCCAAAAAAAGGAAGAAAGAGTAGGGGTTTCGGGCAATAGGGAGTCGCTTTGAGACGAAATGACCACCCTTCAACTTACTTACCAACCAGGTTTACACCTTATTTCAGTAAATGAACGACAGCCGACTCGAGAGCTTCAGTTTTTATACTTCCTATTCTCATACGTCCAAGCCAGAGTCGTCGACCTCAGCACCTCTGCCGAATTATTTAGAAGGATTGGGCAATTTGAACGCCAGTCGTAACTGGAGTGAATGAGGTCGTAGTTTTCCACCTATTTCAGAAACCCAGTACTGGCGGTGCTTTCTAGAAATTCACATCACAATGAGATGTGAAATGCCGAAAACGAAACAAATCTTCATCACCTTTGACGATAGGAGGCCTCGGGGACGTCTTCATTTGGGAACTAGCTCTAGGCGTGACCTTTTCGAGACTGGGGGGGTGACGCAAGCCCAAAGCTACCACCTTTACGTCCATAGTTGATCACAATCTATGATAGAAAATTATCATCAAAAATGCATTCCATGAAGATCGTCTCAAAGTCTTCTGTTTCAGCTCCTGGAAACACGATTAAATAATCTGGTTACTGATATCAGTTCTTAAGTGGTGATGACCTGGAAGGAGATCGTCATAAGGAGGGGCCTGATGAGGAGTTCGACCCCACCCAAGCCAGGGGCTTTCCGCCAGTTGCTGTGCGCTGGATGCCATCTATGTCTGCTCTCAAGCCTAGAGGTCCGATACACTTAATTTTATTAATCGTGTAATAATGACGATTTTTCCCACCTCAAAAACCATATTAATGAGAGATCGAACGATGGCATTTTACCCGGCTGGTCAGGGAGCTGCTATGAGGGGCTGCTATCAGCTAATAAGGCGCTATCACATACCAATAAACTTCCAGAGGCGTCTCCTCCCAGAGTCACATGGAGGCGTCTTGCGTTCCACCTGAACCCCTCCAACGAACGACGTTCCCTTGCCTTAGTAATGCCGTCACCACTTGCTTTGGCCTGAAGTGAGAAGCTGTATCCGGTCGCCTCACTTCAGACCCCTCTCTTGCATCTAATCGTGAGAAGCTCTCCGTGAACGGCAATTTCAGCGTGAAGCAGGTCTCACACCCCCGCTTCCACTGCTCTGCCGCTGACCAGCCTCAAAACCGTCCCCCAGGCTTGGCTGAGTAGGTCTGTTCCTGTGCATTTCTTCCTTGCTTCTACCTATTTCGTGATCTGGCGTGACACTGCTCATCTGTCCCCCAAAACTGTATTGGGATTTAGCCATGGCTTCCGCCGCGCACTGTATCGCGTGCTTTGAGGTTTTGGACGCCCAATTGAACAAGCGCAAGCCGCTCTCCCTGGAGGACATCGAGGCATCCTGGGAGAACTACTCCAAATCCAAGCCGGTCGCTCCGAAGCTTCCAGCTCTCGCCCGACTAGCTGCACCCAGCGACTCTTCTCTACCCGCCTCCTCGGCGTCGTCCGTTTCCTCGTCGTCGACACCCAACGGCGGAGATTCCGCTTCCACACCTGCAACATCAACATCGTCCCTCTCCTTCGCTTCGGTCGCTCGCGTCACCGCTTCAACATCCACTCCACTGTTTGTCACATGGAACACTTTTGACAATGATGACGATGACGACGATGAGACGAGCCTCCGTGGCTGCATCGGCACTTTTGAGCCTCTCCCACTCTCCTCTGGCCTCCCCGAGTATGCCATCATTGCGGCTTTGCACGACACCCGGTTCTCACCCATATCTCGCCGCGAGCTTTCTTCTCTCCAGGTAGCTGTGACCCTCCTGACCGACTTTGAGGAGGTCGATGATCCATATGACTGGGTCGTGGGCACTCACGGCATCCGCCTGTCCTTCCACGACCGCAGCCGTCGCTATGGCTCCACCTACCTCCCAGATGTTGCGTCGGAGCAGGGCTGGACAAAGGAAGAGGCCCTCTTCAGTCTCACCCGGAAGGCCGGCTGGATGGGCAGCCATTCGCGTTGGCAGGAGCTTGATCTCAAGGTCACGCGATACCAGGGCAAGAAGCATGAGCTGGCGTACAAGGACTTCAAGAAGTGGCAGGAGTGGGTCGAGAGTGCCAAGTCGTGAAGAAGCTACCGTGTTTGTTACTTTTGTGTCTGTTCCATTCCGCTTTTCTTTCTGCTGCCGATGTGTCCGCTTGTCTATTATGGAGCGAAGAGCTATAGAGTTTGGTACAGGCGTCCTGATATCTTCTCTTTCCCCATCTCCCCTTCTCCACATCACCAGATACTACCACTATCTTGGTCACTATTCTCATCTTTTCATCAGCTTTTTTTTTCTTGCAGACAGTGGCCAAAGTTGACATTTGCGGGTTTGTCTTGCAGATAGATTACTATTAACAATAGTGAATGTAATACGTGTGGTCAAGCTACTGGACGCTGTAGAGCTCAAGTTGACATACCAACCTAGAGAAGATGGGGCTAGTTAGGGCATCAACTACCTCGGGTACAGTAACACGCGTTACGCGATATGTGACGAAGCTTTGATGTTCATGAAACTCTATGAATCGAGTCGGGGACTTAACGTAAGACTGGAATCTTCAGCTATGCGGCCATGCCCTGTTTCTTGGCCGTAATTCCCCTTGCTCAACGTTCTTAACTATTTTGCCTACGGGTGCCACCCTCCTATAGTTGCAGTTGAACTTGTACTTGGTCCCTCCGAAATACCTTCAAGCAATACGGTGACGCCTGGTTTATGATCTCGCCTTACAACCAAATCCGATACTCCTTGCTATATGAGCCTATCAGTATGAACTTGACAGTCAAACCGAAAGGGACGGCGGCGCTCTCAGCTTTGCCGAGTTTGGCGAAAAACTAGGTGGAATTCTTTTCAAGCAGGGACGGGAATGTCTTTGATTAGGACAATATTTGGCAATGCGCAAGAATCCAAATACCATAGAACATGTTTTTGTGGTTTTCATGCCCCAGATCTTGCGCTGGGAGCCCGAATCAAAGCCGGAAATGGGTGAGATACTCCAATATGAGTGAGTTAAAGAGTTTATAGATCTTCATTTGAATATGCTGCGGGCTCAAGGCCGCTTCCATACCTAGGAAAGCACCCGTTTTCCTCAATATCTACTGCTACTATTTATTTTAGTTCTTATAGTATTATTGCGATAGATATGAACCTTTGGGAAATAAGAACCATATCCTACCTAGAGATAAGTGGTTATACCTGGTAGCATCCTCTGCCCTCTCTCTACCTACCTAAGAATTGTTGTTTCCCTTCTCCACTGCGCCTTCAGGGGTCTCTCGCCATGTAGAATGATCCTCTCACCAGACAATCTTCTGATTGGCCGATGTGATGACGAACATCGCATGTTTATGCGGCATGGTGAACCCCGCTTTCGTCGCACGATGCATAACGCTCAGCGGCTAATGATGGTACATCTTGTGGAAGAAAAAAAAAACGGCTGGATTCGCCCGAAACCAGCAGATAGACAGCTAGGACACACACTTTACATCATCATGTGGAAGCTATTTCTGCCAGACAAGAAGCGCGACCTCGTGAGTCCGCCGCTGTCCGGACCAATTGAAGCAGCATTCCCGTCAGGCATCAAGCAATTTTATGAGAGCCCAGGCACAAGTGATGTTGAGTATGCCTATCGATATGTTTTACTGCATTGGTGAATGCGTGCTTACACGCTTTTGAGTGTTGTCTTTATCCACGGTCTCGACGGAAACAGAGAGAAGACATGGACGGCCAAAGGCGCGGATGAACCATGGCCCAAAACACTTCTGCCTTTGGAGTTGCCTTCGGCGCGGATTCTCACCTTTGGATATGATGCGTATGCGGCAAAATGGGAGAAGGGAGGCTCGCAGAATCGGATACGGGATCACGCATGGAACCTCCTGACTGCTCTGGCGTCGTGCCGGGAGAGCGACGACACAGTAGATACATATCCAGAGACATCGCTCCAGAGGCCGGGACTCTAACCTCGTTATAGCAGAGACGTCCCATTATATTTGTTTGTCACAGCTTGGGGGGATTGGTCTGCAAGGATGTAAGTTGGTTCAGTTTTTGCTCTGATAGGCGATGACTGCCGGCTAAGCTTTTCTCAAGGCTCTGATTGTATCGAAAATGCAATCAGACTCCCATTTACATGATGTCTATGAGAAAACGCATGCTATTGCTTTTATGGGTACTCCCCATCATGGATCAGAACTTGCCATATGGGCCGAGAGACTACTGAAGTCTGTCAACGTGGTCCAGCGGAGAAACACAGACATTGTTGGGGTTCTGAATGAAAAATCCGAGGTTCTTGAGCGTATCCAAGAAGAGTTTCTTACAATAATTTGGGGAAAAGAAAAAGACGTTTCGAAACAAATACAGATCACTTGCTTCCACGAGGAGCTTCCTACAAGCATCAAGGGTTTCAATAAGATCGTAAGTTTTATCTCGACCGCATACCATGACTGCAGGCTAAACCCGCGCTAGGTAGTATCCAAGGAATCAGCTGCTCTTCCTGGCTCTATAAAAATTGGGATCCATCGAGACCACACGCAGATGACCAAATTTTCAGATCAGGAAGATCCGGGCTTCAAAGCAGTCTGTGGCGAGCTTCGTCGTTGGGCGACGAGTGCAAAGCCATTATACATGAACGAGCGATGGGGAGAAGTCGAGATAGCCCTACGTCTGAAGGAGGGAATGGAGACCTTCCCCCAGGTAAAATGTACGTTCAGTGATAAATCAGCGTTGCAGCGACAGTGAGCTAAACAGTCATTAGTCGTTGTGCCGTATCTGAAAAATGAAAAGTTTGTCGGGCGCACAGAAATACTCGATCAACTGAAATCAAGACTCAGCTTCAGTGACGACAACCATGCTTCGCAACGCCGAGTGTCGTTATTCGGGCTCGGTGGCGTTGGGTAAGTGAATATTCAAGGCGACTCACCTGTTATCATCATCGGTTCTAACAGAGAGCAGTAAGACGCAAATTGCTCTGGCCTATATTCACTGGGTCAAGGAAACACACCCGGAAGTATCAGTGATTTGGGTGCATGCAAGCAACCCAGAACGCTTCCACCAGAGTTTTTCCAGGATTGCGGAAGAATTTCAGATACCGGGATACGAAGACCCGAAGAGCAACGTCCTGGTCCTGGTTCAAAAATGGCTGGAGAAGAAGGATTGTGGCAAATGGCTCATGGTTCTTGACAATGCTGATGATGCTGAGCCATTTTTTGGGGAGCCAAGTCCTACAGAATCAAATCCGCTGAATACATCGACCAATTTAGTCCAATATCTCCCAGAATGCACGCATGGGACTCTCCTGATAACAACGAGGAACAAGCAAATTGGAGTAAAGCTCGCCTCTGGTGATGGATCTAGCATGCTTCAAGTCCAGGAAATGAAGGCATCGGAGTCCGAAAGCTTGCTGAAAAATAGCTTGGCTAATCTTGCTGCGAACGAAGAGGAAGTAAGAACACTTTCCTCTCGACTGGAGCAGCTCCCGTTAGCATTAGCCCAAGCCGCGTCGTTCATTTTGGAGTACAGCATGAGTATAGGAGAATACTTGGAACTTCTCTCGGAGGGTGATCAGGCCCTCATTGACCTTCTCAGTCAAGAATTCGAGACTATTGCACGAGACAGGGAGAGGTCTCGAGCGGTAGCCAACACGTGGATGATATCATTCCAGCAGATCAAGAAACAAAACCCGCTGGCATCCGAGCTATTGTCCATGATGAGCTTTTTGGACCGTCAAGACATTACTTTTGAAATCTTGCAAGAATACAATCGCCAGCAACAGGATGGCTCAAGGCGCAATATTGAATTGAAGAGGTCGATAGGCATACTTAAGAACTTCAGCCTGGTAACCGAACAGAAAAATGGCAGCTTGGATATGCATCGACTAGTTCAATTAGTCACACGAAACTGGCTAGATAAAACTGAAGCTAGTGACTGGTTCAGAAGAAAAGCTCTTGTTTGCATCTCAAACATATACCCCTTTGGGGAGTTCAAGAACCGAGAGCTGTGCAGGGCATATCTTGCTCATGCTCTAGCTGTTCTGGGGCTCCATGTAGCCAACAAGGATGAAGAGGCAACATCAAAAGCAAGGTTGTTACGTTGTGTTGGCGAACACTTTTTACGAGAGGGCCAGCACATTCATGCGGAGGAAATAATCCGTGAGGCCCTTGAAATCCGCATGTCTAGTCTTGGAGAGAACCACAAAGACACTATTGAAACTATGCAACACCTGACAGAAGCCTTATACTATCAACGGCGATTTAAGGAGGCTGAAAAGCTAGCCCTCCAAGTCCTAGAGGCTAGAAAGACATCCCTTGGAGAGACTCATCCAGACACTCTTGAAAGTATATCAAACTTGGCAGCAACCTTCTACGAACAAGGGCGATATGAGGAGGCTGAAAAGCTCGAGATTCAAGCCCTAGAGGCTAGCAAGATAACCCTTGGACAGACTCATCCAAACGTATTGCATTTTATGGCAAACCTATCAGCTACCTTCCACAGTCAAGGACGAATTGAGGAGGCTGAAAAGCTAGGCCTCCAAGCCCTAGAGGCTAGAAAGACATTCCTTGGAGAGAACCATCCAAACACTCTTGAAAGTATGACAAACCTGGTAGCAATCTTCTACGAACAAGAGCGATATGAGGAGGCTAAAAATCTCGAGACCCAAGCCCTAGAGGCTAGCAAGATAACCCTTGGAGAGGCTCATCCGGACACATTAACTCGCATGTCAAGCCTAGGCTATGCGCTGCATGCCTTGGGACATCTGGATGCTGCCTTGGATCTAATGGCAACCTGTCTTGATAATCGAAAGCGAGTTCTCGGTGAAGACCATGCTGATACTTTGCATTCTGTGAAAACGCTCCAAGATTGGGCAATGGAACGGACAAATGGTAGTACCCCTTGAAGTACTGGCCAACTATCACTGCTTAGCTCACTTCGATCTGAAAAGCAATCTTTCCCAGACGCATGTATCTATCTACACATTTTTCAGAAATTTGTGACGGCCAAATATCTTACAGTATTAGATTGCATCTAGACAGCAAGGCAACCGATTGCAGACTGACTTGTATACCTTGACAATGTTACTTGCACAGATGTCAGACAAGATCCAACCGCAAAGAGGTCTTATAAAAGCATGAAGAGGAAGGGGCGGTATAGAAGAAATATAAGTCGACGTCAATTATCAGGTTTAAGGGTAAGTTATTTTCAGGTCTAGACTTCACAAGATTGACACTTGTGAGTGGGAAGCGGAGGAGACAATGAAAATCCTGCATGGAGGTGAACGCGGCGTTACTGTCACGTGTGAGTTCGTTTAATTAAATTCCGTACGATAATAAGAAAATAATCAGCTTCTATGTGGTATATTGTCTTGATGGTGTACTGCTTCTTGTTGCTGATTGTTTTGGTATCGTTATTGCAATAAAATATGGCGCACTTGAGTGGCTGTGGCCCATGAGATCCTCAGTCGGTGAAAATCTTGAACTTTTTAATGTTGATTTTGTTCGAATTCAAAGTACTCATAGCGATGTTACCTAGTTCAAGCAGGACCTAAAGTAAATAGGCAACGCGTCAGACGTGGGATTTGGTGGGCAATAGGCAGCTGCCCATCAAATAGTCGATCACCTCCTCGCCTATCACACATTATATAGCTTCAGCTATATCGAGATTGATAAAATGACCTGTACTGTCTCGAAACAGCCGATGTCATCAAAAGGCAGCTATGTACTTTGGAGGACCCTGTCCCGGCCCCTCAGCTTGAACAAATATCTCACTCATTTCCGTTGACAGCTAGGTACAAACTGCAATATTCGAACCACCTCCATCGCGTGATTCGATACATCCTTGCCTCTATACTCGAATGCCAAGCCTGAAAAAAACGGCAAACCGGCACCAAGTGTGAGGGATGGGGGCGATCCAACATCAGGAAGCTTCCTAAATCGAGAAAGCTGCATAATGGCGCGGTAGGTGGGCGGGCGTGTGCAGGGCTGGCCCTCTGAAGAAACGGAGACCGGATGAGGCGAGTGAGCCGCTTCAAGGATGGTGTGGGATGTCAAGGGGGCGCGTGCAGGGTCCGTTGGATGGGAGGGTCGAGACTCGTCTGGCGGGCAAGTTCTATGTAGCTGAGGCGTGTCTCTCGGGAGGCAGCCAATTGCTAAGGATCAAGTCGGTATCTGGCGGGTGCAGAAAAGAAGCTTAAATTAAGGTTGCTTTTTTTCGCTTTAAGGTTTTGGACGACGCTTGTGACAAATGGATATCTTATCCTTGTGCGTGGCTCCCCAGAGCAGCCCCAAGCTTGACCCGCGCCCGAACCTCGACGCCTTGAAGCTCAACCGTGACACAAGAGACACAGCGAGCTTTTTTTAGGCAAGACGAATGAGATTACAATGGCAAGAGGTGTGCCAAGCAGGACCATCCATCGGTAGCACCCTGCCGGAATGGTTGCCAAGAGTCCCCACCACTAGGCTTGACGCGAGGCCAAGCCCAAGACACATACGCAGCAGCTTGCGTTCTGCGAGGACCCTGTTCATTTGTCTGGCTGGCTGCTTCGAAGCGGGCTTTTCCCTCCTACTAGCGCCAGAGCCATAGACAAATGATGTCAAGCATAATCAGCAGGTCGGGTATGCCATGCATCATATCCCACCAAACCGCCCAAACAGACCGACCGTCTGTCTGGTTGCTATCCGGAGACAGTCCCCTGGCAGTTCTTTTGGCTCTCAATACGACGCTCATGAGCAAGTCAGCTCGGGCTCCCCATTGCTCAGACCCTCTCCTCCCCAACACCCTGTTTCTTGTTCGTCTAGGGCGGGCTAATCAGGTGTATCCCCAAAAAGCATTGCCCGCCACGTCGTGCTTCCTGGGGCAGCTGCTCACTGACGCATATTGCGCATAATATGGAGCAGTAGGGATTTCTTCCCCAGTTTTCGTCACGCTCCCGTCGCAGTGCGCGAATGCTCCTTCCTAGGTCATCAGGAGAGCGGAAGCTATTGTAGCGGTAATTTCTGCCTCTCTCTTGACCTGGAGGATCCCGCGAGCATACGCACATACAATCGTCTGGCTAACGATTGTAGAAACATAAAACTCCAGTCTGTCCTTCCCGGGCCACGAGCCAAGTCGCGAGAATGCGTCAATCCAGAACGGTCAAGCAGGCCCTCAAGAACCTGTTCCCCCGATCGCGGGCCAAGAGCAACGCCGCCGAGGCCAAGGCCAAGATCCCCATCTCGGGCTCCTCCACGACCTTGAACTGCTCCGTTTACTCGGAGAAGTTCGAAACCCTCTCCAAAACCCTCTCGACCGAACCGAACAGGTCAGACAAGTACTCCGTGCTGAAGTTGAATGATACACTTTCAGTATCGATCGGCGACTCGTTTGAGGAGAGCCCCGACGGCCGTGTTGAGAAGACGGACGAATTCGAATATGGCAATATCAGACATCCAAAGCTCATCAGGCTGTTGCTCATTCTGCCGTCTTCGGACCAGACGGAGGCGCTTGAGACCATCATGTTTCATGCCGAGCTGGATGAGGTCCCCTTCCAGGCGCTCTCTCACACAAGTGTAGAGAAGGGCCGTATTACATTGATGCATTGCAATGGCCATAGTCTTGCTGTCGAGGAGAGCCTGTATCGGGCTCTCAAGGATATTCGCAATCTCGCAGAACCACACACCTTCTCTATCGTATGGGCAGAGGCTGTATGTATCAACCAGAGCGACATCAAAGATCGCGAGGACCACCTAAGGTTGGTCCGAGACATATTCACTTCGGCGCATGTGACACTTGCGCATTTAGGTGGTACTGAGGATCAGAGCGCCAAGGTCTTTCAAACGATCGATATGCTGCACGAAGCCTGCAAGATTGACGAGTTTCGGGAGCGCCTGGAGCAAGACGAGATTGACATGTCGTCTCTCGAGCACCTCTGCATTGAAGACACGAAGCTCGATATCCCCTTCGAGAACCGGTTGGAGCTGACTCGCCTGTTCTCACATCATTGGTTTGAGAGGATTTGGAACTGGCAAGAGGTTGGGCTTGCCCGAAAGGTATGCCTCATGTATGGCGGCGCGCTGCGACCATGGGGGTACTTCGCCGACGCGGCCTGGTGCATGTATCAGCTGAGGTGGGAAACGTCCGTCGGTGATGAATGCATCGAGGAAGACATGTCAAGAGAGGACTTGAAACATTACCACATCCTCCACTTAGACGAGCACAGAGACGGGGCTCTCAAGGGGAAAACCTACAGTCTCCTCAGCCTGTTGACCGAGTCAAGGCACTTCGCTGCCGCCCATCCCTTAGACCGTGTGTTTGCTCTCTACTCTCATCTTGGCAACTCTCGTGAGAGGGACATCGTGCAGGCATTCTTCGACTATGACCTGCCCCGGCTCGCCATGTACCTCAATATCACACTCAACTGCATCCTTTCGCATCGTACGCTAGATGCGCTACAACTAGCGCACAACAACATAACCGGTGAATGGCCATCCTTCGTGCCCGACCTGTCCCGCAAGGATGGCATGCGCATGCTAGGCTCGCGCAACGGGAGGCGGACATGGGAATATCAAGCTTCGGGCGACACAGCTCCCCAGATGGCCGTTCTCAACAGCTGGGGCCAGACCCGCGAAGGCATCCCTTACTTCAACGACGACGTGTACATATCCCTCAAGGGCCTCACAGTCGATGAGATATCCATCGTTGGAACGGAGATGAAGGGCCCAACCCTCGGCGCAGCGCCCTACCTCGCAGACTGGGTCAACAAGATCCTCATGCTCAACGGGGAAAGGTTCTACACCACGCCCGAGCTGAAGCGCGCCAAGGAAATGCTCCAGGCCTCGATGAAGAAGGGCCACAACGGCACCAGCAAGACGAACGGGGCCGTGACAACAAACGGCGAGTCTCGTGTGCGGAACACCTTCTCCCCGTCTCTGATAGAGGCGCTTAAGAAGCTCGACTTGGACTCCAACGAGGAGGTTGAGCCCATGGCTGTGCTACCAAAGGACAGGCCATACCCGGTCGGTAACACGACTGACTTTGATGCGTTCTGGCGCACGCTCATCAAGAACAGGGACGAGAACGGGTGTGTGCCCGCGGCTTCCATGGCCGTGACGCACTTCCAGCCGTGGTTCAAGGCCATGTCCAACACGGTGTCCCACATGCTGGAGGCTCTCGCACACGGTCAGAGCGAGGGCTCCTCAACCGGCCCGCGGGCTGAACCTCTCTTCAATGATCTCGTACACATGAGCTGCAACGGGACCCGGATGGTGCGCACAGCTCAGATGGGATTGATAGGCACAGTACCTCGGACGACGAAGCCGGGGGATTTGGTGTGTGTGTTGTATGGTGGCCAGACGCCGTTCATACTGCGCAAGTCGGAACGACGTCCGGGCATGTTCAGATTAGTTGGGGATTGTTACGTGCATAGCCTCATGGACGGGGAAGCGCTGAGGATGGGTTTGGAGGAACATAAATTCGAGATTTACTGAGCTCAAATTTCTATGTATATTGTGTGTCTCGTCTCTCTTCTGCACATGTTGTGCTGGGAGGCCTCCCTTATGGGAACAACTGGCTGCTCGAATCAACACTCTTCCTGCTCCCGCGTGACGATCAAACTAGCAAGCACCATCGGTTCCAATGACTGGGATTCTGTTATTAAATTCTCTCTTATATTCAAAGGTACTATATTACTTGATATTAGTGCTTGGTGACATCGCGATGCCCTTCCACACAGGCTTTGTTATGGCAGTGCTCAAGAGTCCTTGAGATCAATGCCGGGGTTAAATGCTAAGTAAATCTCGCTTCATGAAAATACTATGCTAACATGATTAATTATAATTCCAAGTCATAAACTTCAAAATATGCGGAAGTTTGCTGAACCAAAAGTGAAGACCGCCGCTTCCCATGCATGAATGCAATATATACTTTATTGTTCCCAAGAAAAAGAGAAATATTGACAAGTGCGACGGGGGTATTCAATAACAAAGCGAATGATCCCATATTATGCATGGCGAGAGATCTTGTCTCTGGTATATGAATTGATGTTGTGAATTTCAATCGATTAAATATTTGATTTCCAAACGCTGATTAGTCTGTGCACGCTCTGTTGTCTTCGCCGCTGTTCGTATTAGAGAGGAATAATAATATCGGAATAAGGTGGCCCAGCCATCCTTCGCTTTGTCGTAAATCATTATTTGCTCAAGGGATTTGATACGGGCCGCCTGCTCAGGTTTTGACCGGATGCATAACGAAGTTGGGTGCAAATACTTGGCCCCTTTCAGTGGCGAGCATTCCTGGCAGGTCATCGGTTCCATTGTTCCCATAAAGCCACACGTCCATTACTTTTCGAGGGTACTCGCTTGCCCACCACCATGTCAGGCCCCTATTTGCAAAGCTCTGAGGATTGGCGTGTGAGAGCCCATCGGGAGAGTCTTTAGGGTGGTACCCAACGAAGGGTAGCTTCTCCGGATGTCGCCAATTCGTCTTCAATCTCGATGTTTCCTCATTTTCATCATCCGGTTGGGTTTTCGCCAGCTCCTCATCGTAGGCGTGCATGTAGACTGGTTGAGGCGGGTAACTCAGCTTCAAACCATTCCACAGAGCAAATGACGGCAGAACAGCTTCGCTGGGCACACTCAAACCACGGGTATGCTGCGCATTATGCACCGCGAGGAGAAGCGACCGGCTACCACGAGTGATGGCAGGCGGGCAAAACCATCGTGGTGTTTTAGCCCCATTTGCAAAATTACCGAGAATCCAGTCCCGGAATACCCAGGACGAACCCCGTGCGTCTGCGCAGAAGCTCGTTACAATAACATCGGCCTCCTCACCAACACCCCAGTCGAAATCGTCCTCGGTAGCATGTTCAGTTGGAGGTCGAGGGCCTATGGGATAGATGCCTGAGCCTTCTACCGGTCCCCAAGCGCGCGAGCTGCCGTTATTCGCTTTGTCGACGTCGGTGGAAAATTCTTGATATGAGGTCCAGAGTTCCTCGCTGTAAGGGTATGTGGCGCGCTCGAGCGCCTGCTTTCGGGGCTCTTGACGTGCAAAATTCGCGGTAGCTTTCATATATTCGCCAACGTGGCCCATAAAGCGTTGGTCCATCTCCAGCTGCCAAAAGTGGTCGAATTCGGGGTAGTGGAGGGCGAGAAGCTGCAGTGGTTGGTTGATCTGCCACATGGTTCTACGAAGCGTAATGTGAGCAAAAAAATTCCTGTGTCGCCACGACTATTATCGGGAATAGAATAAACCTACCGGTGTTCATCAACGGCCGAATACCAGGACTCAAGCATTTGATCGTCCCACAGCAGGGCAATAGATCGAAGCTCATTGGGAATGCCTGCCCCTTCCAGCGCCTTCTCGTAATTTTCTCTCGACCCAGTGATGTTCAATTGGCGGTCGAAAATATTGACAAGCAAGATGACCTCGTATTCCCCTCCAGATTGCAACGCGGCCTCAGTGATGATGGATCGAATGTTCCACATATTCTCCTCGGTGTATTCAAAGCCCTGGTATGCACGTAAAACGATGGCCGTGCGGCGAGTTGGCTCGAACTTGTGCCACGATGGCGTCGCGGGGATCTTTCGTTGCTCGAATAGTTCGAACCGGACGTCTTGAGCGAGGCTTGTCGTGCGAATCGAAGTGGTGTTTGGGAAGCGATGAGCATTTCGTCCGAGGCACTTTTGTTGCAGGTTTCCCCAGTCGACCGAGTTCCAATCTACCACGCTGCGGTTATAAGTCGGAGAGTCCTGACCGTATCCATAAGGACCATATCGTCCATCTGCTGTCATCCAAGAGCGGTCGATGCCCAGTTCTGTTTGGGAGCCTATAAAGGGCACAGGGTACGCTGAAGCCAGCGAGTCAGCAAAACTGGTCGCGCGAGATGGACAGTGGCAGCTTCAGAGCATGCGATGGGTACTTTGGCGACTTACAAATGCTCACACGTTCATAATGCAATTCGTCGTCCAGGCTGTCGGATAGAAGATGGCCGCGGGCGCCATGGCAAGGGACGGGCTCGGCGAGAGGCTCCAGACCAGCTGGATTAGTCGGCATGCGCGTCGAGGTTCGGTAGATTATGGCCTCCAGAGTACCTGGATTGGTCCATTCTTGTTCGGCGCCGAGGAAGAAGAGAGCAAGGATGGCCCATAAAATGAGCGACGGGAGCAGGTAACGAAGGCGAAGCGCGGGCAGCCGTCGCCACGAGGCCCAGCGCTGGGTAAGTCTGATCATGACAGCGAAGTCGGCGACATGTAAATCGAATCAACCATGGGGCCGGGCTCAGGTGAGCACTGTGGAAATAGCGAAAGAGTGTGCTATCTATCTCATACCACCTGGTGCAGAAAAGAGAGTAGATGAAGGAAAGAGGAACAAGCGACGGGCACCACCCACCAGCCTTTAGGCGACGGTCAAGGATGGTGGGAGGCGACAGGGGCATGGATGGGACAGAAAGATGGAGAAGGCGGTTTGGGGAACTTTGGTGTCGCACTGGCCAAGCCTCGCCGAAGTTCTAGCTCCATCTGCCCTGCTCAGGCGGCGACTGCTCCCTGCCTCCCTGCCGGGAGACATCTCCAAGAGGAATTAGCCTGTTGAAGAACCACTTTCCGACCCCACCCATGCCACTATTCAGAGCATTCTAGCCCTGGTTTATTACCGGCAGCAATGAATTCGAGCCACTTGCTCTGTCGCATGACTAGCGAGCACCACCCGTTAGTCTAGGCCGTGAGCGCTCAACGCGCCTCCTGGTTCTGTACACGAGGAGAGAGTAGCAGCGCAGACGTCATCGCGTAGGGCAGATCAACTTGGTTACGAGGTGCGCAGTGGGCTCTCCCCCTTACCTTAGTGAAGCGTGTGCCTCCGGAATCAACCCTATCTGAAATATCTGCAGCGTGCGAAAAAGCGGCTGCCAGACATGAGCTGCCTCAAATTTCGAGATTATTTTCGGAAACTTTTTAGAGGCTGTTGGCCCACGCTAAATAGCCTATATCGTTAGTGTTGAGGATCCCCTGTTCAAGTGCTGTTTCGCCCTGTTCCTTAACGCTGCCTGGCCCGTTATCAGCGTGTTATCAGTGGAGCCACAACGGGTTGGACCACTCGGAACGGCAGAGCGCAAAAAAATGATGAAGAAAAAACCGCCACCCGCGGCACGTTTTTTAAGTGTGTGTTCAGTGGCTTGCGCCACGGCTTCTAAGGTCGAACTTACTGCGCGGTAATAACCTAGTCAAGCCGCCTATACCGCTCTGGAGATTAGGAGGTGGGAGGCAATTTGCCATGGTTGCAGCGATGCTACGGCGAAGAGATCAAGGGGAGGATCCTTAGCGCGCTGTAAGCAATTGTCTTGGCGTGCCAGAATCAGAACTCTATTCAAGAAGCCTAGGCACGGATAGCAATTCGCTGACTTGGTTTATGTTGTGTATTAATGATCAATCATGCTATCTAGGTTTCGTGTTTAGACAAAGAGCATTATGAAGGATCCCATGCCGCCTCAACGCCTCAACCCAACTGTGATGTCTACCTCAAATCAAGAATACGGATTGCAGTAACCATGCTCTCGTTACCTAGCTAAAATATGCTCGCTGCTGTCAGTATTCCCCGAGCTCTCTGTCCTTTTGGTCGAGAAGCAGCAAACGAAGTTTATCAGTCACCTGCTTCAGCTCTTTGTCTGATTCTCTAAGCCTCTGCATGGCTGTTTTGCCCTCTCCGTCTTTCTCCAGCACACTCATTCCCTTTTCAATGAGTGCCTTGACATTATTTATCGCCACTTTTTCCGTGTAGCCGTCTTTGGCTAGCTGTCGCACGATCAAGTGTAAGTAACTTCCAGAATCTCGGCGGGTTGTGCTGGCGTTGAAGTCCAGCCCGAGCACGAAGTTCATCAATGTTTGTTTTGGGTCTTGGAGTGCGCGCCAAACAAGGGTGTCAAGGTTGGATGGAGAAAAGCTCCAGGTATCGCGAAGCTCATCCACCAATTTTTGGCTCTTACTTTTGACCGCATATAGATAGGCTTCATCGATGGCGTCTTGTGAAACCAGTGATTTTTTGTCCTTTATCATCTGATAAAGCTTGTACACTCGAGGATTCTTGAAACAACTGAGGAACACACTGTCGACCTCCTCATCATAAATTCTAGCCCCTTTCTCGATAAGAAGCTTTGCGAGTCTGGGGCATCTTTCAGAATCAATCACGTATGCCTTGGCAATGGATTTGCCATTTGGGAGTTGATGGTTTAGGTTGGCCCCTTTATCAACAACATCTCTTAACAGAGCCTCGAGAGAAGGATTCCCTTTCTTTTCAATTATTCTCTCAATGAGAAGATAGACAAATGTCTCTCTGCCGGGCGCCATATGGTTGACGCGGCACCCTTTGGCGAGAAATAAGTCTACAAGCTGCTTCATGTTACGATATGAGAGCTTCCAGTCCCACTCCGCGGCCCCAACCAAAGTCATCAACGGCGTGAAGCCTTCGAACAGCGTCGCCTTGTCCAAGTCTGCCCCCTTGTTCACAAGAAGCTCAATGAAACTTTGATAGACCTTGCGTTCAGGCGTGTCAGCTTCATAACAGCGAATTATCGCCATGTGAATCGGAGTATATCCAAGACAGTGGGTTTGCAGATTCAAATCAGCCCCCTTATCCATAAGCATCTGGAACATGGATGCATTTCCTTGTCTTAGTGCGACATGCAATGCACTTCCAGCATCACCAGGGAGTTTCTCGTTTATCAGGCTCGTTGAAAGTTGTAACACTTTCTTTAAAAGGTTCTCGTCTGGGTTCTCCATTGCCGAAATGACATGAAGTGCTGTAAGAGCACCACAACCCTGGCCTTGAAAATCAAGGGTAAGACGGCAATCTGGAACACGGGGTAATAGAAGTCTAAGAATCTCTTTGTTCTTGCGTAGGAAAGGAACAAATAAGGGCAGCCATGCGACACGGGTAAGATCAGCCTTGACCTTTCTGTCACACCATGAGCGCGTGCTTGTGAGGCAAGGCGCGGCTCTCTTGACGATCCGATCCCACTCACACGAATCTAATGGGATCATGTTCCAGAGATTCCGACTCGGTAGCGTCACACAGGCATTTTGTTCAAGCAGTCGCTTGACGATCGAGCAGTAGCCCAAGGCGGCCGCCATGTGAAGCGCAGTTGCATATGTCTGGGGTTGGGTAGGATCTGGATGGATAAAGTCCAGCTGTGCCCCATGGGAAATGGCCATGTCAATAATGTCCAATGCGGCCCTTTCTTTGTACTTTTTTGCGGAGACGAGGATCGCATATTTAACTGCCGACGAGTTCTCCTCTGCGGCATTTCGCAGATATAGGACCCTATGAGCGCTGCCATGGATGGTGCGACATGTCATTGCCAAGTTTGCAAGGCTGGCGGTTGGGAGGTATGTACATATTTTTGTTTGTATTTCGGTAGGCATCAGAGCCAAGTAAGGCCTGGCGTTATTATCGAAGCCATCCATGGTTGAGCAAGTTGTCGTGGCTGGCTTCGTCCTCTCTTTTAGCCTCTTCCTTTGATAGCGATGCCAGGAGGCCGATTTGGTAAATCCCAGGTCGGAAGCTGTAATAGCTGCTGGTTTATTTAAAGCAATGTAAAATTTATGAAGTTCAAATGGGTGGTCTATCCTGGTTCGCTAATGTCCGTGGATACTTATCCAGGCCTGTAGGAGCAAGCAGGAGCAAGCAGGAGCCCGATTGATACCAATTGAAGAGGAAATAATTTTCGCAGGAGGTGAGGAGGAGGTTGAAATTCAGAGAGGCATCTTCCACTTTATAGCGCTCCAAACTCGCGTTGAAAATATCTCAGTGCCTGGATATTCAGGTGCTACTATTGTTAACTGCCTAGAAATCAAAAAACTGAACCGAATACAGTTTACTCGAGCTGAATTGTGAGAGCGAGGTGAGAAACTCTTAGAATCTTGTGAGAGTCTGTCTACTGATCCGAGTTGCCCCCACTTGCCCTGCCATCATACTCATCGATGACGCTCTGAGGAGGCTGGTAAGTGCCCAGGGGAGTGTATCTCAAGTGGTTAAACCCGAAGCTGTCTGGCCCTCCGAGCTTGATGCCTCGCTCTGTGCTCGTCCACTTATCGCTCGCCGCCAGTCCCAACACCACAACCAGCAGTCCATACCTGTACTCAGGGGTCCCAACAGCCTCTCCGCTCTGCGCATCAATGACTGTGATCAAATCCGGGACAATAGCCAGGACATCTTCCTGCTTCTCTTTTCTTCCGTCTTCTGGTACCTTGATGGCTGCAATGTTCTCGTTCTTGAACGGGATCTTGAGTATCCCCCGAAACGCTGAATCGACGGCATCCTCCTTGCCAGATACATCTGTGCCTTGAATCAAGCATTCTCCATAGACATGTCCCGTCTTGAGATTCCGCTCAACTCCAACAATCTTGCCTTTCCATAGAACCCTGCCTGCACTGGGACCACCACACTGATCGATAATAGCCTCTGCCACATTCGACACTTGATTCTCCTGTCTAGCCTTTGCCACGCCTCTACCTATTCTCCATGACTGGGATATGGTGCGTTCGACCACCCATCTTTTGGTCTCGGCTCCCGTTACTGGGGCGTCCGCAGCACCAACATTGGATCCCATCTGGCCAATTGCCGCCCGAAGGATACGCTCAACATGCGCATCCGAGGAGGTCTTCGGCATTACAACCACATTTCCATTGCCGTCCGACATGGCAATAGGGGCCCAGATAGGCGTGCGTTCATTGAAGACGACGGGTGTGGTCTGCCACTTGGTTGGGTACGCGCGGCCCATCCAATCGCCATCCACAGCAGGGAGATTCATCAATGTGCTGGCTCCAATAATCATGCTCTGCAACCCATTCGCGCCACCAATCTCAACAGAGATCATGTGGGTGGCTGACCTGTCGCAGATTTTATACAGCTCGTGTTGCGATTCAAGCATCTCATCGCCACCTAGCTTCTCAATAGCCACGGTTGGGCTGCCTGCTCCTCCGCCACAGCCAACCTGGGCATCGTCTGGAATATCACGGGTATCTACTACCCTGATGACGGCTCCTTTACGCAACTCGGTTCGTAGGCGTATCTTACTAGAGTAAGGGGATCCTCCGCCCCCAGTGCCGAGAATGTAACACCCCGTCGCGATCCATTCAACGTCTGTCTCTGAAATATACCATATGCGGTTTCGCACATCAGGCACATATTCATTCACATCAACCTGTTTACGAGGACCTTTCCTCTGGCTTGGCTTGGGAAGGGCACGTTCAGGCATAGTCTCGTCATGACTATTCTCGGCTTCAACCTGGCCTCCAAGGCTATCATCGATGTTCTGGGTTCTACTGGTATCGAAATCTCCAGCAGCGCGAACGATAAATCGAGTCTTGTTTTCGACGTAAGACAAAGGCAGAGTGTCTACCTCCACAACTTCGACAGTGGCAGGGTCGGCACCGGCAGAGACAGTCTTCTCAATTGCCCTTCGGGTAACTGTATCCCGTGCTTCGGCTGTTGTCTGGTTCTCAGTAGAAACGATTATATCCTCTACGGCGCTTAGCCGTGCCATTGCTGCGCCAATAGCGTTGGCAACCCCTGACCATTGGGGTTTTACAACCTTGCTGGCTCCAGACAGTTCATGGGGTGCAATGACTGCTCCGCCACCAACTAGTAGCACCGGGATGTCACCTGGCGAGGTTTTCATCACGTCGATTATTCTCTCGAGCCTCTTCTTCACGAGGCCCTGGAAATTTGAAAGCAGTTCCGAGGTAATCTTCCCCTGTAGGAGCTCGCGATTTCCAATCTCCAGGTCTGGGTTAGACATGACAGAAAAGTCTGTTGCTGTGAGTGTTTGGCCACCAAAGACTACGGCCTCACTCGTCAATTTATTTCCAGTGCTCTCTGGGCCGATTGTCATCGGTTCCCCTGTGTGGATAATTGAACCACCACCAAGACCAATGCTCTTGATGTCGGGGCAGGAAAAGTTCATTCTTACGCCAGCCAGGTCACTGTAAGCCGCCTGCTGGCGAGGAAAGCCGTTTGCCTGGAGAAGGCCAACATCCGTTGTGGTTCCACCAATATCCACGACCATAATATCTTCATCCAATGTCTGCTGGACAAGATAAGCGGCACCTCTCATACTGTTTGTCGGTCCGCTCGAAAATGTCCGGATAGGAAGCCGGGCTGCCATCGCCCCTGGTAGTACGGTACCATCGTTCTGGGCAATGAAAACAGGACAATTTAACCCGACGGTTTTCATAGGCTTCTGGAAAGAAGAAATTGTCTTTCGGGCAAATGGCAGAATAGCCGCGTTGAGGATCGAGGCATTCTCTCGCTCCAAGAAACCCAGGTTGGCCACCTCCTTTGAACAAACGACATCGCAATTTGGTATCTCCCGTTTCACTATTTCAGCGGCCCTCTCTTCCTGACGCTCCACGGTATCTATCGGGCTGAATACGCCATTGATAACGATGCTTCTGAGGCCCTTCTGTTTGATAATGGAACATTGGCTCTTGATTTCCTCTTCGTCGATATCAGAAATCAAATGTCCATCAACTTCCAAGCCACCCTTCAAAAGGGCATAATGGCCCAGGACGACATCTCTCAGGTCTTCTTCCCAGTCCACACATGGTAGGGCGTGCTTTGAAAATGGGCCACACAGTCGGAGAACTGCGACAGGAGCCAGCCGACTGGAATCCATTTCAACAACAGCATTCACGAAGTGGGTTGTTCCGATAGTTACGCTTGCCACATCAGATGCATCAATTCCCGCGGAATCGAACATGGTCTGGATAGCTGTGCTAATGCCATCACTGGGGTCTGGCGTCGTCGACGTCTTGTGCCATGCTTTGATGGCCTTGTCGGGTGTGCTCTCTGACGGGTCGATGATGACACCGTCGGTATTAGTACCACCGACGTCGATGCCGACACGGAGACGGCGCGGAGCCTGGTTTTGTTCTGATGCCATTTTGCAGCCCACAGGTAGGTAGCAGATAAAGTTGATGGATGGTGAACTAAATAAAGTGCGGTGGTGAGATGATCTGATAAGATTCGGAGATATGCCGCAGGACGGAGTCACCATGGAGCGGGGTCCGGCCTTGCTTCGTTATCTTGGGCCGAAGAGCAGAGATTCCATGTTCTCAGACGGCAGTGGGGGACTTCCTTGTGGGTCAACGCGACGCTGACTTGAAATTGGGATGGCAAGATGGTAACCTACCTGCATCATGTTCAACGTGTGACCCCAAGTACAGTACATAGCTGTGAGTGATGTCTTGACTCAGGTGGTTTATGATTAGCACACACCCCCAGGCATCAAAAGGTGGGCGTATATTTGGTTAAAGATGAGACGCTTGAATAAATTATTAAGCCGTCTATAAGTGATCCCTGAAGTTGCATTATATCACTAATATGTACCCAAACACATATCATGGCCATCACAGTTAGTGGTGACCCAATACGAAGTCTTCAAGTACGTACATCTCATGTATCGGATATATCTCAATAAATGTACATCAGATTATGCAAGGACAGTCATATAGGTACGTATGATTGGACTTGGAAGCGATCCCCTTCTCATCCGAGATTCTGCATGGCGGTAATCCCCCAAATGATAGCGCCGAGAGCTCGCCATCTGCGCTTGAATTTTCATCGAAAGTCCATCGAAAGTAGGAGACAGGAGAATGGACATTCGGTGGCAAATGTCAAGCAGTAGTGCTATTCCAAGCTAATCATTTCCTTCTCGAGGCAAGAGGAACCAGAAACACGAGGGGGAAGCCGCCGGAAGTGCTTAGTCATCCGCGCATGTGGCTTTGCAGTGCCTGGATCATTACGTACCGATTATTTGCATTGATTAGATTGGGTTGATGACCCCACGACAACAAGCAACAAGTGGGAAGCTTCCAATGCAGACTGAGCTCCCATCTCACATCACCACCACACACAGGCCGCCAAGCGTCTACGTCAGCCTGGGCCACCCGCCACCCGCGGTAGTTACGAATACGCATAACGACTTGAACGACGTCAAAGCAGCCTTCTTTCTTTCTGCCACACCTCCAACCGATGCCGGATAATCTACGACGCCAACCCATCTCCGACATCCACCTCCACCTGCTATCCTCCTCCTCCTGCAAATAACCAGCTCCCACTCCCAACCAACGCAGGTCACGGCACGCACCAGGTAGCTGTGCGCATCTCCATACCTGGATGCGAAACCCGCCGAGGACTTTGAATCGCATCAACATTTGCAGCAAGCATCGCCATTTGCCAAGTGGCCGGACACGAGAGCTAGCTGGCATCGCCTGCGGAGGTCTGACGGCCTTTGCCTCCCACCATGGCGAACTTATATGACCTGGGATCTCAGCAGGATCATGATGCCAGCGCTTATACTCAGTTACCAGGAGCAGCCTCAAACGATGCAGCGCATAATAACCTGGCAGGGGCGAAGCCCCAGACCCATAATGATGGGGTCGAACGTCCAGGTAACCGATTATTGCAGCCACCCAGGTTCGTTAATCCATCTTGCTAATCAGCCATCGCACAGGACGTCATCCTAGCCGATGGATTTACGAGCTTTTGAACAACAAGACCACTAATATTGGACCGTTCGAGAAGGCACGGCAATACCAGGTGGATATACCGTACGATTGGGACCATGAGCACCGCCTCGTTCTCAACGGAAACCAAAGCTACTCGACGCCGTCGACCCGGGTTCTATCCTCGCTATGCATCGAGTGTCATTTCCACTTCGTATTCAAGATGAAGTGGAACGAACACTGCCAAGACAATCTCTGCAACCCGCTACAGGCCTCGTGGCCCATGGAGGAGTCGAAATATCCGTGGCATCATTTAGTTTGGGCTGGGTCAACAGATGACGCTGATCTGCTAGAGGAACGCTCCAAGTACTATCCACTACTCTCAAGAGAGCAGTTTGTGTGTGTCGCTCCGCCCTGCACCTTTCAAATCACTGTCGAGGTCTTGGAGCCACGGATGGGATCCTGGTGGGCTCAGTTGCTCACCGACCATGACGCTATCCGCAAAGAATTGTACAATGCCAAAGCCCGAGACCCTGAAAGATATGAGGGCGCAAATGAGGGATGGATAACCCAGGCACCACTCAATCTCAACACATACCTAAAAAACCTGTTAGAATCACCAACAAACGATCTACGGAGCATATCGAAGCGTAACAAGCGGTTTTCGGTTCTATTTGGGCCCAGATCTTTCAGAATTTTTCGCGACTTGGAGTTCTCTGAAACTATTGTAATGTTGGATGACGAAGACGATGGGCAATTCACACCCAGGGCACCAGAGCCAGCATCCGGACCATCAGGGACAACCGAGCCTGGTACTTACCGTGCTTATGTCGAGGATGTCCGAGCCGAAGTCCAGTGTATTATCCATCGCACAGGGCAAGCAACCGAGAAGCCAACGTTTATAACCTCGGCTTTGTACGCAGATCTGGGGTCTAAGGATGCCCCTGGAGCGAAAAGCCATGCCTTGACAGACCTTGAGCGCTATAGATTGCTGGGCATCCTTCCTAACTTGCCCCGAGAGGCAACTGTCAATGCCTATTTCCGGCAGTGGGATCTCATCCCCAGCCAACGGAAAGCCATGGTAAATGACCTTGTCGCGATCGCCAATGACTATGGGGATGAGGCACTCTCAGAGTTCGCAATGACACAATCTTCCATCTTCGAGTCACTAATGGAAAGGATGGAAGCTTCTGAGAATAATGAGCTCAACCAAGCCCTCAAATTCTTTGATCTCTCGCCACCAAACAGATACACCGCCGACCAGATCATTGCCTCGTTCAGGCTTACCCTAGCCGGCCGCCCTGGGCAGGCCGCCGCGGCTCGGGACATGCTCATGGTGATTGCTGGTGCTTCAAGTGATCCTGAATACCAGACTCGTCTTCTTATGGAATCTGATTCCAATATGACGATTGATACCAGCAAGGCACTTTTCAATATCCCACCCAATGACGTGATGGATTCCCAAGCATGGATCCAAGTGGGAAGAAGCAAGGTAGGCCAAGATGCCCGTACGATTGGCTCATGCTAATTTGCACCACCCTATCGTCATGTTTCCTTGCTCTCTGCTAACCTTGTCGTAGCTCAAATCTTGTACAAGCAGACAAGAAAAGCTTCTCTACCTAAGTGCTCTGAACACAATCGCCGACGTTACTGATGACGCTCGTCTCAAACAAGGAGCTGCCGAGCTTCAAGAAAGATTTGCACCGGCTGGAGAGGAAGATGACGGGAACCAAGCCCCGGCAGATATCAATATCCCGGTCGGGTTAAATAATATCGGCAACACTTGTTACCTGAACAGTTTACTCCAGTACCTATTCACCGTCAAGGCCGTTCGAGACATAGCCTTCAACTACTCTGACTATCGTTTGGAGTTGACTGATGAGCAAATTGCCGAACGGAAAATTGGAGGGAACAAGATGACCATGGATCGGGCCGAAGCTGTGGTCGCTCAAGCCTGTACGTTATGAACTCCCTTCTAAGTGATTTGCGAGTCCCACCTTCCGCTAACGACGATTCCAGTTGTCCATGAACTTGCCGATCTATTTAACAAACTCAGATCCCATAATCAGGCTGCAACACGCCCATCCCAACGTTTAGCTAACGCTGTTCTTCTGTCAACGCACTCGTTACTGGAGGACTTAAAATCTAAAGAGGCGTCGACCTCGACGTTGCCTCCACCTCTACCAGTACGGCCCACATCGAGACCTCCCTCGCCAGTGGCAGAGGATACAGAGATGGCCTCGGAAAGAAATCCTTCAAGCCAAGACTCTGAAACTGTTAGCAATGGCAGCTCTGAAACTTTGGTCGACCTGGTAACTGTGATGTCTGATAAACCGATCTCGGAAGAGCAACCTTCTTCTACGCATCAAGATGGAAAGCCCAACGAACCAACTATCAGAGTAGTAGATGAATCGATAGCCGAGACATCCGCCATAGTGACTGGCGAGCCAGCCAAAAACCCGGATGTTGATGTCGTCATGAGCGACCTAGTTGATGAAAAACAACAACAAACCATCGATGAGAAAGTCCTTGACGCTCTGGGACATCAGAAAAGATCCTCGGGAACCGACCAACAAGATGTGGAGGAAGTCATTGGAAGTATCATCAACCGATTGCAGGCCGCTATACACCCAAGCTCGGTCGACGAAAAGACCGGAATCCAATTCGAGAAGATAATGGAAACGTTCTTCGTCACTACTGTCAACTACACAAAGAAATTCGATGACCACACATACCAGAGTGAGATCAGCTACGACAGATCGATTACAGCCTTTCCAGCAGCGGATGGACCATGCTCACTCTACGATGCCTTGGGGCGGAATTTCGACCAACAAGTTCTGGAAGAAAGCAGGCTTACCCGATACACAGCTATCAAGAGCCTACCTCCCGTCTTACATGTCCTCATTCAAAGATCTCAATCAATTGGGCGCAAAAACGATAATCCTGTAGTTATCCCGGAGACTCTGTACCTCGACCGTTATATGGATGCGCCCCATGACTCTCCCGAATTCAAACGCCGCACCGAACAGTGGGTGGTGGGCGAATGGCTAGCAGATTTGAAACAGCAGAAAGCCCGCCTCAATGCCGATCCAAAAACCGGAGCCCTGCTAGACGAGGTTAGAAGAAGGGATGAAAGCCAGACAAGCGATTGGTCTTCCGCAATAGCGGAGGCACGTTCTGCCATCGCTTCGCTCGACGACCAATTTGCGTTTGATGGCCCCACTACTGAGGACCTCATCACACTATCGGATCAAGACATAGACTCGAACATGACTGATTCCGCAACTAATAACACTCACAAACCGGCGATTGAACCAAATGAAATGGCGACAATTGAGGAATTCACGCGAGCTCAACTAGACGATGATATTGCCATCTTTGGGCAGAGACTAGAGCAACTAGTTACTGGTATGGAAAAGAACCCATATCGACTGCAGGCTGTCATCTGCCATCGTGGTCATCTGAGCTCGGGGCACTACTGGGTATGGATCCATGACTTCGAGGCGAATGTATGGAGATGGTACAACGATGCGGCGGTCAAAGAAAACCAGAACACTCAAGAAGTCCTTGAAACGCTGAGTAAGAGTGGAGAGCCGTACTATCTCTGCTATGTCCGAGACAGCGACAAGGGACAGCATGTAAACGTTCCTAAACGAGAGCTTCCCGTGGTCCCAGAACCTGCTGGTGAGCCTCTCGTTGAGACAACGGAGGATGCTGACGGTGACATCCAAGTCAACGATGCCTCGAAGGAGCCCGTATCTACACTTACCGCAGACGAGATCGAGACCTAGGAGTACTTAGAGCGATTAAATTCACTTTTCGTTTGTGGCAAGCCAGATGGAAACATAGAATTGTGAGCTACCAATTTTGAAGAGGAGCAAACAATGTGTCTTAAAAGAAATTTTCATGTTGAGTTGAGCGGGCGTTACGGGACAGCAGACTCAAATGTGTATGAAATTAATTAAGCCAATCCATCATACACCCTAAGCGTTGGGATAGAGATGTCTCTGCAGATAGATCATTATCCTAGTGCATAGATTAAGGGGCTTTACCTATTTTCCATAGTATCCAACGATGGTGCTTCGTTCATATAGCAACCGCTTAAGTAATTTGGTCTTTCACATCTTTAGATATTGTAGAATACAGGACGTTTACCTCCCTTTAAATACGGGCTTTCTCTTCTCCTGGAAAGCCTTCAAAGCCTCGTCTCTATCTTCCGTCTTGACAACTCTCTGGTACATTTCGTTCTCCTTGTCCTCCCGAGCCCAGCTCACAGCTTCCAGGGCGGCTCTAACGGCCACGGGACCTCCCTCGCAGATCTCCTGGGCCAGCCGGACGGCCTCGCTCAGCGCGGACTTGCGCGCCAGCTCGAGGATCTTGGACCCGTCGCTCTCGCCCTCCTCCGGCACGATCTCGACGAGACGGTCCGCGATGCCCAAGAAGTAGGCTTCCGGGGCGGTGACGCGGCGGCCGGTGAGTATCAGGTCGCGAGCGCGGGGGAGGCCGATCAGGGCGGGCAGGCGAAAGGTGCCTCCAGCGCCGGGGAGGATGCCCAGGCGGGTCTCGGGCAGGCCGACGGTCGCGTTGGAGGTGAGGACTCGGAAGTGGGTGGAGAGGGCGAGTTCGAGGCCACCGCCGAGAGCGAGGGAGGATATGGCACTGATTGTCGGGATTGGGAGGGCGGAGAGGGCGGAGAAGGTGCCTCGGAGGTTAGCGAGGAACTCGGCCGTTCTATTTTTAAAAGGTTCGCAGTTAGTAAAGATCCAAAAGTCCAGTGAGGGGGGGGGGGGGGGGGGGGGGGCAAAGGTGGAGGGCAGTACTCTTCTTGTGTGAAGTTCCGGCGCTCTTTCAAATCGGCGCCGGCGCAGAAGCATGTGTCGACTGCACTGGCGATGACGAGAGCGCGGGTAGGACCCTTCTCGTCGACGCCGGCCGCGCCGCCGAAGCGCTTAATGGGGGGGTTTTCCTCGCCATTGGGGCCGTACTGGCTGCGGATGCTGTCGACCTCGGCGCCGAGGCGGGCTAGGAGGCCCTTGGAGATTGCGTTTCGGGCGGAGGGGCGGTTGAGCTCGAGGATGCGGATGTGGCCGCTGTTGGGGGCGGGCAGGTTTGTGACGTGGATGAGGGGCGCTGCCTCGGCTGAATATGCGCGGCGGCAGAGGAAGACTACCCGTCTTGTAGGGGCGGAGGGGAGGATTCTGGGAGGCATTTGAAGCTGTGTCCTGAGAGGTCAGTTGGGAGTTCGGTGTGTATGTCTTAGGATGGTTCTGAGAATTTCTCTGGAAGTGGAAGTATGTTGAAGAGGGCGACCGGAATTGGTGAAGGGTGACGTCGGCTGTGTCTTCGGCTTCCATCGGCGTCTGTCGCAAACTGCCAATGCCGAAGCTACCCTATACTTCCAGCCTGCATCACTCAGCACTATTGTCAAGATACACTCACAGCTGCATGATGCCATTCATTTATTATTTTATCGGTTAATATGCATGGTGTTTCATATTAATATTGAATTACTCTTCTCAAAGGGCGTAAAATATCATTTCTGCATGCTTAGGTAGAATTAAATGAACTACTCTAACAGCAGGCCATCTTATCAATACGTCCCGCAAGTGTTTTGTTTTCAAGAGCAACATCCATTATTGAGTACAAATAAATATCTTTAAGACATAAAATCATGTTAGTATTTGATTATTATACCAGTTTTATTAATAATATGTTAGTTATCACGGTTTACAGAATGTCGTATACTTGTTTGCGTCTCAGGATGCCTTGACATTGTAGGAAAATCTATTATGTTGTCTATGACTCTAATCTGATCTAATTTCCAAACTATATAATATGTTTGCACATTCTGTCTATCCTGTTAGTTGAGAAAATATAAGTATTCTGTTATCTGTTTGGCTCCTAGACGCCCACTTATCCTCATCCTTCCTCTTGCGTATTTACTCCGCCGTCTTGGAAGTCTTGGTGCGAAGCTTCATGAGCAGGTATACCAGGGCATACGAGCTGAATACCAGGAGAGTAACAATGCCGGCGTCTCTCCATCCGTAGTAGTACTCTTTCAAGTTAAGGGAGTACAAGTAGTCCTCTCCCTTGGTGTATGAGCACACCTGGCATCCGGCTGTTGCCTCGGGATTAGCAAGGTGGCTTGCGGCGCCCAGCTCGGACTTGAGGTAGTCGACGAGATATGCCGCACACGTGGTGCCGTTCGGAGGGTCGAATGTGGCAAATTCACTGGACGAGCACTTCACGTCGGCTCCCCATACATCAAAGACCAACATGCTTCCCATCAAGTAGTTGAAGGGATTCAAATAGTACCTGGTTGGTAATTAGACAAGATGAACGAAAGGAATACAGAAAGGGACCGAGACATACATCCAGTAGCGCCAGAAAGGCTGAATTTGAGCATAAGGGACCAGCACTCCGCAGAAAGAGACGAGAGCCCCGATGAGGAGAGGGTTGACCAGAGAAGCGAAGATTTCGTTTGGCGCATACGCCGCGATGAATTGACCAATACCTGTGTACAGGAACTCATACATGAGCATGACAAATAGCGTCGCGCCGGAGCGGTTCGAATCCGATGGGAAGCCAACTGTGTAGTACCAGCAGACGAAGTAGAGCACGCCGCAGATGAGGAGGTACGGAATCTCTGACACGATCAATCCGGTGACGAAGGCAATCCAAGAGTACATTTTGGACTTTTTCTCTCGGGTTTCGAAGATATCGCGACGTCTGATGAAGAGAGGCTGCAATTGATCTATCCAACAGTTAGCTCTAGTTTTCTTTCACAATAGGAATGGTGATTTCGTACTCAGCACTCCAGGGGCTACGAAGATGAAGTTAAAAATCGTAAAGAGTTTAAGCTGAAGGTCTCCAACGGAGTCTCCAATCATCCAGAACGAAAATCCGTTAAACAAAGCCGAGGAGATGTGAAGCGCGAACTTATTATTGATGTAGTCGACGTTGCGATACAATGAGACGTTAGTTCGATTAGTAACGATCTTGACCTGCTCCCACAGGGGCATAGCAAACTCGTAACCATCATCCACAGTGCCAGGGGGCTTAGATGCGGCTTCATCAACGATCCGGTCGACCTCCTTGATAACAGCATCGTGCTCGGGTGATGATAGCCAGACACTGTTCCAATCTTTACCTTGCGATAGGTGGCCGGAAACGACATCAATCATATGCTCTGCAGGGTTCACATGAGGTGGGCAAGGGGCGCCGTAGCGGCCAAAGTACTCTCTGACTGTCTGAGCTTCCTCGCCAATGTCGCCGAAATAGACGGTCTTGCCTCCCTTTGCAAGCAGAAGAAGTGTGTCGAATTGCGAGAAGAGTTGCGCGGAAGGTTGGTGAACCGTCACGAGAACGGCTTGACCGGCGGCAGCTAGCTTCTTCAGGAACCGAACTGTATTGAAAGCGGACTGACCATCCAAACCAGAAGTGGGCTCGTCGAGGAAAATCAAGAGGCTGGGTTTGGCTACGAGCTCAACACCAATAGTGACTCGCTTTCGCTGTTCAACGCTGAGGCCTGCACCGACCTGTCCAATCAGGGTGTCGGCGAGATCATGGAGCTCAAGGAGGTCAATGATGGTGTTGACGTATGCGATCTTCTCTTCACGGGGTGTTTCTCGGCTCTGTCGCAGGAGGGCGGAAAATTCAAGAGCCTCTCGGACTGTGGTGTACGGTTCATGAACATCGAGCTGCTCACAGTAGCCTGCGGATCGTTGGAACGAGACTGGCAAGGGTCGGCCATCGACAAGAACGGAACCGCGAATGGTGCCCTCAGTCTTTCTCTGGGCGAGGACATCGAGCAGAGTTGTCTTTCCAGCGCCGGAAGAGCCCATCAAGGCGCCCAACATTCCTGGCTTGACCCATCCTTGAACATTATCCAGCAAGACGCGGTCTCCAGAGGGAGTCTTCACCGTATAAGACAGATTCTTCCACGTGAAGACGGAAGTGTTTCGCACTAGGTTGCCCTGGGCTGGCACATCCTCACCGGAGCTACCTGTAGAAGGCTCATCGGTTTCTTGCTTGTCTGACGCTTGAGCTTCTACATCATTGGACGTTGCGGAATGCAGGTGGGCATTCTCGCGGGGGATCAGCAGACTGGGGCCATTCTCAGAAGATGACTTCCACCGGCAAGTAGACCATACTGTGATAGCCATGAAGAGAGCCCACCAGGCCCAAATGATGCCAAAGTTCCTCCAAACGTGGGAGTGCGCGTATGAGAGGGAGCTAAGATAGGCATCTCCAGTGACAAAGGTTTGGCCAGACACGGCGCCGCCGACTCCAGCGCAGCTTTGGTGAGCCGAGTCGGTAAATGAAGGGCCGTTCGGGATGAGGTTGTTGCCAACGCAGGGAATAATCGTGTCGTGGAACTCGTTGGACAGGAGAGCATCAAAGGCATATGCTAGAGGGCTGTATGAGGTGTTAGCGATGAAACAGAGAAATTGTAAGTAGATAAGAATTGGAGACATACTCAATCCAAAACAGCCACACAAACCATGGGTGCATCTGTGGCTTCTGGATCATGAAGCCCGTGTACATGATGGTGGCTGAAATGATGAGACCGGAAACCTTGGAAGCACCATCAAACGTGCTGAAGGATGCGCCGATTGCTCTGAACATGGAAGTGATACACTGTACAGCATACTTAGTACACGAAGAATAGGAGCCTTGGCATATTGAACTTACCAGTGTCGTAGCGAATAGAATAACCCAGTACGTGAAGAAAGCCCCAGCGGTCATCTTCAACCCAACCATGAAGTACAAGACTAACGAGAAAGTTGTCACTTGCACAAAAACAACAGGTATATCGGCGGCAAATTGGGCGATACAGAAGGCTGAGGGGTGGAAGTAGGCAAAAGACTTGTGCTTCAGAAGAACAGGCCGACCAGTGAAGGAGTCGGTAACTTCCGACATGGACATGAGACTGTTGTGAAGCAGAGAGAAGAACAGAGCGCCGGATTTCATGAAGAGCCCACCCGATGTATTAGAAGCATTGTAGAAGAGAGACCCCGCGATGAGAGCCTGAAGAATAGTCAGGCCCTGTTTGAGTATGAAGGTTGCCTTGTCACCGAAGATGAGCTGGTACTGTCGAATGACACAGGCTGTGACTTGTGCGAAGAAGCCGACAGTCATTGCGCTGCTTGCGGGAAGTCTCTTATACTTCTCCTTAACAACACCCTCCTTGAACAGCTTGGTATTTTGCTCTGCCTCTGGCGTGGACGGGTAGTTATACTCGGCGGCCATCTTCTCATGAATTGGTGACTCCGTGTATGTCGCACGGATGACATCAGCAGTACGCGGGAAGTTTTTGCTAAACTCAGGGCGGACTCTGCGTTCTGTAGGTACAGTAACGCCCGTGAGGAAGTCGGCGACGTTGGCTCCTGGGCTGCAGATGAAACCAAGATCCTCCATGAAAGGCCTGGCCTCCTTCATTGGGCCATAGTATATCTCTTTTCCGTGGTCAAGAACGAGAACCTTGTCGAACAGATTGTAGATGCCATTGCCAGCTTGGTAGAGGGTGACAATTGAAGCGAGACCTAGAACGTCAGTCATGGCTCTCATAGCCTTTGCATACTCCAGGGCCCTATAAAGAGTTAGCTACGGATCATCGAGTGGCGGCAGATGAGAGAGCACTTACGTGCTGGCATCAAGACCTCGTGTCGAATTATCCCAGCAGAAAACGCTACCCCTGGAAGCCAAGCACTCGATGATAGAAACTCGTTTTCGTTCTCCACCAGAGACACCACGGACAAATGCATCTCCAACCTTGGTGTCTTCGGTATGTTCGATGCCCATGGACTGTAGGAGGAATTCGAGGGACTCCCTACGGTGGTCTTCATGGTTGTCGACTCCCTGTGGAAGATGGAACGGCACCTTCAGTCGAGTTGCAAAGTCCATGGTCTGCTGAACAGTCAGAGTTGGGAAAAAGAGTTCTTCCTCTGTGTTCATGACAATCTGCCCTCTGTAGTTCTTCGCCTGATCGGCTGGCATGCTGCCATAGTGAACATCACCAGAGACGCCGGCGTAGCCTCTACGCTTGTTTGCTAGAACGTTGAGCAGGGTGGTGCAGCCAGAGCCGGGCCGACCCAACACCAGCAACATCTCGCCGGGCTTCACGCAGCCATGGCTTGAGTCTAGGATCTTCCTCAGCGGTGGCTTGTGGCGGGACTCCCGAATGAGCTTGGGAATGTTGAACTGTGAGACGACATTTTCGTGGATGGCTGCGTCGACAGTGACAGCTTCGACGGTCAGATTCTGCCATGTAACGCCCAGTTCGCGTGGAGGAAATCCTGAAGATCGATCTCGGTCTCTATTAGCGACGACCTTGTATTTTAGATCCCACTCATCAGGATCTACATGCTCGTCCCGGATGGAGAGCTCGTTGGCAGTGATAGAGCCTTCCTCACTGCCACCCATGATGAATATGGGTTCGAGGGCTAGATAATTGAGAACCTATGCTCGCATATAGTTGAATCGACGAAGAGAAGAAGAGAAATTGGAGAAGGGTCAAAGATCAAGGAAGAAACAGATCTTGCCAGGGAGCAGGACTCTGAGCACTACACAATGATCGAGGAACACCATGGTAAAGACAAGAATGAGCATTTGCTTTAGTATTTAAGGACTGAGTTACGGATATTCGGATAGACCAGAAACTCTGCTACGGTGGTAGAAGGTTCCGAACTTGCGGATCAATCAATCTGGGTGGATATATCTTGCAGATGAGTCCTTTCGCCATCTCGGCGCTCAATAAGATGGCAACTAATTACTTCTCCAAGAGGAAACAAAGCTTGTAAGGCACGACTTTGAACCAATCGTAGGCTCAGGAGCTCCTTGTAATGCGGCCCGGCCGTTTTCCAAAGATCCGGGTGGGATGTCATCGGCGGTCGTGACGGGGGTAATCTGTCTCGAGAACCCCGCTTACTCATCGGTATTCCAGATTTCCTCCCGCATTTTGGCGTAGATGAATCATGATAGATCTTGCAACAGACCAATCTCCTGTCGGGAGGTCCCGTTGATGAGATCCACTGCGGCGGCGTAATACCGCCGGTTGAGGCATCGTTTGATATTGGTTGTGGAGCTTGTCGGGGTCGTTGTCTCGTTTTGATGGTTAACAGTGGAGATTTCCATGTCAGACCCGCTTAGTCAGCGGGTATTCGCTCTTTCTATCGGCAGCAGGAGGTCCAAGGCGAGGCTCTGAGCCGCAACGACGACACGAACAACTCGGCCTTCGGACTTCTCTCGTGAGCTTGTCGAGTTGGCTTCTGGCTGGAAGAGCTTAATAACACATCGGGCTTCGTCCTCGGGCTTTGTCATCCGGATATTATGTACCACCGATGCCGTAGCATCGTATTCCAGGTCTGATTGAGGCTGAGTCCGAAGGGTCCGGCTCAAACGCAGTCTGAGCAGCAAGAGCAATCAAACTGTTCTCATTACACATGGAAAATCTGCAGCATCATGGCAAAGCAAAGACGAGCCTGTGACGGATGCCACAAGCGAAAGGTAGGTGGTTATGAATCATCGCTGCAGTCGCGCCGCAACATAACCTTGGCGTAGATCAGATCGATAACCCTTTCCCCTTGGCTTGTCTATATTGAAGCTAACACGTGGTTGTTACCACATTTATAGATACAGTGTGACCTGTCCGAATCGGGGCCCAAATGTAATTGGTGCACCCACCGTGGTGTGTTTGCCTCCATGCTTGCCTACCCACTCTGGGTCTTGAGCGCGTACCCATCTAACCGTTCCGATGTGTAGGTCTACCATGCACCTTCACTCGTCTGAAGAAGACAGAAAGTCAAAAGTGAGGCCGCACTCCTTGATTTTTGGATGGTGAACCATGGTGGCCTGCCATGCTGTGTACATGAGTTGCCCTGGGGGACAGACCAAACGTGTGTTGCTAACTTCCAACAAGGCCAAAGAAGAAAGGCAGCCGAGACAACATATCAAAGCGTATTGAGCGTATCGAAGAATTCATTGCCCAGAATGGATCTGCTTCCGAGGGACAGAGTACCGCAAGCCCTTCGGATGGTTCAGAGACTGGCAACCCACCCCAGCCACCGAGGTCGGTAGGCATTGAGGAGCAACAGTCCTTTTCAACACCAAGCAATGATACGAGTTCAAAACTGAACAGAGGACCTATTCCTGGTCGGTCGGCATGTGGCCAAATATATTTTGCCGGTTGCTATCTTGGAACTATGGACTCACCTGACCGTATCCCAGCTTTCTCGGCCGAGGGATTAGAATGGATTTTTTCTGCGACAGGAGAACATCCGACCTTTTCCAACATCACAGTGGAAGATTCCGCAAATCCTAAAAAATCCTTTTATTCTCCCATGTACTCATCCGAAGATCATCCCAACGGAAGGGAGCGATTCCCAGATCTCTGGATCACGCAGGCCTTTGTTAGGGAGTTCATGGAGTCCAGTATCAGACATGTATTCCCGATTATCGATGATGTGCTCTTCGAAAGAACAATCGAAATCGCATATGGGCCCGAGCCCGGGCCAAATTCCTCCGAGTATTTATCCTCGCGGGCTTGTGTTCTGGCATTTGTTTCTTTAATGAGTTTCCAATTCTCGACCATCCCAGCGGCAGCCCACATTGACAGATTGGAGTGTATGACTTGGGCCCAGTCACTTATCGGCAGGTGTCTCAACTTTCCAAGCTTGACAACATTGCAGACGCTTGTCTCACTGGTATGTCAATCGAAACGGCCACTGTGACTATAGTTAACATCGATTTCTCCTAGCAACTAAACAGCATGGTCTTGGGACACATGCAAGCAGGTGTCATGTTTCATGGCATGGCTTGCCGCACGACTTGTACTCTTGGGGCTCATACCATCGTTCCTACGCCGCCCTCAGATCGAGCCTTGACAGTCCCGGAGCGAATCGATGAACAACAACGAAAAATGTTCTGGGTTTGCTACATCTTCGATAAGAATCTTGCCTTGCGAACAGGCCAACCGCCAAGCTTGTGGGATGAGTTTTGCGACCTTACACTGCCCCCTGAATACGTCAAAGGTCGATTTGGCGTTCCGGAATACGAACACCTTGTTCGAGCTCCATATCCAGTCCTCTTTGGAGACATTCGTCTTAGTATACTCAAATCCAAGGTATCTAGGGAGTTGTACTCTATTCAGTCTCTGCGCAAGTCCAATGCCGAGCTTCTGCAATCCATTAGAGAGCTTGATGAGGAACTTGAGGGTTGGCGCTCATCGCTACCGAGAAATTTCAAACCGAGAGTTTCATTCTCACCTCACTACGAGAAATGGCTGTCGGACATGGAATTTGCGAGATCCGTCCAGCACATCGAGCTCCATCTTGAGTACCACCATCTGGTAGCTTCAATTCACGGCGCAAGCGGTAGATGCTTCAAAAATGGTCGAGTTGATCCTAAAATCATTGGACTTCAGTCAAGTCTCGATCTGGCTGTTGAGGCTAGTCGGACAACTATTATCTATCTAAGTGTGGCAATCGATTCACTTCCAAGGGAAGCATTTTGGTAAGTATTCACTCTAAGAGAATCCAGTAGAATCAAGGGAACTGACACGGTTTGAAGGGCATTTCTCTTTCATCCCATGTCTGCTCTGATTACGTTGTTCTTCAATGTAATCAGAGATCCGCTGGCAGCTGAAGCAGAAGGCGACACCAACCTCATCAGCACAGCTGGTGACCTAATTCAAAGGCTTCCATCGCACCAGTTACTCAGGCTGCACGAGACATCATTCATAGAACAACTTGGTGCATTTGTCGCTGAACTAAGCCGTCTTGCAGCAAAAGCCATCAACAAGGCTCGGAATGAGCGTGCTGGATGAGCCGTGGTGACTGGGACCCTGATAACATTCAACACTAGCGGACCGTAAGGTGAACAGACTTGGTCTTGTACAATTCCTGACACCCAATAGCGTCACCCTATAACTCTCGAGGGTCTTTCACCACGCCAGATTGATGGAAAGGGGAAAGGGTTTGACAACATACCTGGAGAGCCGCGTACAGGTCCTCCCGGGTCTGCTTGAAGAGAGAAATGTTGCGATGAACTAGGCTCAACGACTCCCTGGCCATTAACACGCGACTCCTGAAATAGCTCCGAAAACATTAAACCGCCTGCGCCAGAGAGTGCGAGCAGGGCTCCGTTGTGGCCTCGCCGAGGAGAGAGCCGTTTAGTTTGCCTCACCAAAAATATACGTGGCATCCCAAGAGAGCAGCACAGCCGGTTCTCGTCGCGAGGAGGGATGGTCACCGCATCCATCAGTCATTTGCCGGTCTCGAATACCCATGCGACCACGTTTCGTATAGCAGAAACGAGACTAGTTGCCCAAACAGCCTAGAATGACTTAGGGCTGTGAATTATGCATAGCAGCAATTGGGCCACACGCACGGGACGTGGGTGACTTGCACGGCGGAATGAGTCAACTCGGTGAAAGCGCTATCTGCCCTGTCAGCCGCAGTGGGGAAGGAAACTCGGTTCTACAGACTTCCATCTGCACGTCCAAGTATACCGAGAACGATAATGGGGAGGAGATGGATTAAATAGATCATGGATGCGCTTCAACATGGCGAAATAGATAGACAGACTCAAGCAGTCATACCAAGCAACTGGGAAAGGGAATTGAATTAGTCATCTTGACCCCGATCGCAGCCACCAGAAGAGCAAAGCAAGTCTTCGCCAGCCAAACCAGCATTGAATCAAATCAAATCAAAACAAACCCGCCAATACAATCATGTCCGATTCCGAGGAAAGCAACATTAATCACGCCGTCTTCCGTGACTGCCTCTCCACCACCCTCGTCCGGGCCGAATCTGTTGGCCTCCCGGAGCGGAAGCGCCGGAGACGAGCCAAGGGTAGTAACTCAAATGAGACGGCAGCCGTCCCGGTCTCACAGGACTTTAGCCAAGACGCCGAGGAGCTTGCCGAGTTCATCGACTACTTAGCGACGGAGATATTTGAAAACCTTCCGGACGAGATCAGAGACCTCGATTACCGGACATGGCGAGAGTCGGAGGCACTGCAAGCTGAATACTCGTTCCCTCTGACGGCGAGCAGCCTTTCACACCTCAACCTCCCCCCGTCCATCTCAGAGACGCTACAAACATACAACCTTATCTCTCCGGACCCCACGCTAGACTCGCCTCTGCCTGCCACTGTGGAGGTATTCCTCATCCCTATCCTGACCGCCTACATCACCTCGCGCATCGCGCCCCCACCAGCCTCGACGGCTTCACGCACCGACGCCTGCGAGATCTGCGAGCGGCCCTGGATCCCTCTGTCGTACCACCACCTAATCCCGCGCTTCGTCCACGACAAGGTGGTCAAGCGGGGCTGGCACAGCAAGGAAGACCTGCAGAACGTGGCGTGGCTGTGCGGTGCCTGCCACAGGTTCGTGCACCACTTCAAGAAGCACGAGGAACTGGCTAGGTACTATTACACTGTTGATCTGCTGTTGGAGGAGGAGGAAGTGCAGAAGTGGGCAGCTTGGGTAGGGAAGCTGAGGTGGAAAGGCGGGAAGACCGTCAGAAGGGCCCGATAGACAGACACTCTTAGCGATACCCAAGTCGACTCATTACTCAATTGAAATATGGCCTCGACTACACAAAGTTCCATGCCAACGCACGTGAAACAGGAAGGCGGCCAAAGTTCTGGAGAGCGTTTCAAGCCGCGTGAAGGGAAGGACAAGGTTATCTCTAGTGCGGCATATTCGTGGGCGGCGGTGGATCGGCGGACCCTTTGTTGTCATCCTCTTTATTCTGTGGTCCGTTTTAAGATTCTCGGCCCTCTCCACTAGTCAATCAATTCCTCCTTTGCCTGCTCTGGCATTGCCCTTTCAGGCAGGTTCAGAGGTGCAGTGTCGATGCGCCCAGAAGACAAGACGCAGCTCATGGAAGCACCCTTGCCTCCTTCTGAAACAGCACGCAGTGTGCCCTTATCCGGGACTGTCACTGGCTCCTGTGACGCTGGACCCAATCTCCTCAGGCGTTTAAGCTTACCCTGATTTGTGTGGTGGCGTGTAAGCTGGGGGCTGACCTTGGACCCCGTCCTACCTTGTGAATGGACACATCAGGGTTAGATGGGCTTTTGCGGACTGCGAGGGTTCGGGAAGATGGTCGAATGAGGCAGGCCTATCTGAGATCGACTTCTCCAACATACCCATCCCCCGCGCTTGATTGGCATTGACCCAGATGGCGTGGCTGCAGCGGTGTCCCTTGGGTCATATCCCCCACTGCCAGTGAATGGAATGCATGGGATCATGAGGGCGTGGCCGCAAGTGGGCGGGTGCTTTGGTTGGAAATGGGTGATAAATAAAGCAAGCCTTCGTTGTGTCTCCTGGCCTGTCTCCCTCTTTCGTCTCTCCAGCAGTCTTCACAGCCAGCGACTCGCCGTCTATCCAGAATGAAGTTCCTCGCCGCCGTCATCTCGCTCGCCACTGTGGCTGTTGCCAGTGTCGTAAGTTGCTTTGGCCTCTGAATTCAAGCCTGATCCATTCGTTCGTTGGAGTTAACGGTATCTCTCCCTAGCCTGGCATCCCCTCTGAAGCAACCGCCAGATCTCTCCTGTCTGAGCTGGCTGTTGCGCAGTCAGTTGACGATGGTGGCTATTCTCGCGAGCTTTTCCCCCACTGGAAGGCCGTGTCTGGCGAGGCTGAATGCTCCGCTCGGTATGTCTTTTCTCTCGTCTTATTCTCTAGAGGCGGCATCTCTGCGCCTGTCCTCTGTACCACAGTCGAGTGACGTCGCTGACGGGTTCTAACAGCGAGTATGTGCTACGACGTGATGGAAACAATGTCGTAACGGGTAGCGACTGCTATCCTACCAGTGGAAGCTGGACGTGCCCATTCGACGGCAAGACTCACACCGTCCCGAGCCAAGTTTCCATTGACCATTTGATCCCCTTGAAGAATGCCTGGGTTGTGAGTCTACTACACCTTAGACAACTCATTCGCATTTTGCATCTTGACTGACCTGTCTTCGTAAATAGTCTGGCGCCTCAAGCTGGACCACGACCCAGCGCCAGGCTTTCGCCAACGACATCAAGGGCCCTCAGCTTTGGGCTGTCACTACCACCACCAACTCCCAGAAGGGTGACAAGAGCCCTGACAGCTGGAAGCCTCCTCTGACCGGTATCCACTGCGACTATGCTGCAGCTTGGGTCCAGGTCAAGAGCAGCTACAGCCTTACTGTCACTGCTGCTGAGAAGTCTGCCCTTGAGAGCATGCTGGACTCTTGCTAGATGAGAGGAGGGAGTTGGGAGGAGACCCTGCAGTAGTCACTTCCAAATAGGCCGTAGGAAGTATACTTGCACCATGGCCTGACCTGAGACTATCTAGTCATTTGTCAGTGATTAAACAGACTGAAAGGACATATTCCCTATATACCAAAGATACCCCTATGACCGGGAAACTCAACATGCCTTGTTTCACAGATCTATTGAATTTGTTTGCGAGCTCCAGCACTCGAAAATTTCGGTGACACCTCCCCTACCTTTGGGGAATTATCTGTGGCGGTGTGACCATCCAGCAGTTGTTGTTAATCAGATGCGGACTGAACGAATGTGATTCACTGCACAAATCAGAAGCGGCCCTCCCGTGCTTCCAACTCGTGCTCTCATACTTCCTCAACTCCGCACACTTCTCTTCATTTTTTTCCACAAACACAAACTCACTACTATCACTTTCCAAACAAATCAGCCCATCTTGACTGCCAGCTTTCAATAGCATCACAAACGATGTTGCTCATCGCCCAACTCCTCATCCTCTTTTGCACAGGTGTATTCGGCCATTCTCATCCTCTCGCAAACTGTGATCTGTCAAATGGAGCTCATTGTAGGGACCCTTCGGATTCCTTTGGATTATTTGCTAGTTTCAGAATTAACTTTGAAACAGACTGTTCGCCAAGCCTAGGATTAGCTCGGAACTTCAGCTTCGACTTCGTCTGCGCCTTCAAAGATGCCGACTTAACTACGTACTGGGCGAGGGATCAGACTTCATCCCAAGATAACCGTCTCATAAACCTCGACACCAACGGGAAAGGTGCTGCACTTGGAATCTTTGGAACCTAGCCATGCACCATCTCTCTCTACGCGGCACTACGTTTTCTTTGGTAAAGTCAGCGTTGAACTCCTAGCTGCCTCTGGTCAAGGAGTTGCCTCAAGCATCGTCCTGAAATCAGACTCTGGAAACGAAATTTCATGGGTGGGTTTCTCGTGCTTCTTATCAGTAAAATTATCAGCTCACATGAGTTCAGGACATTCTTAGAACGTACGACAACCAAGTACAAGCCAACTACGTATTTCATGGTGATACCGATGGCAAAGTGTACAACCAAACATTCCCCGTCGACTCGCCTATTTTCACTGCGTTCCATACATATTCGATTGAGTGGACGCAGTACAAAATCGCATTTTCCATCGACGGACACGACGTTCTTACCTGGTACATCGGCGACGTCCCCCCTGAGAAGTGGCCCCAAACTCCCATGAAGCTTCACATCGGCACGTGGATTCCAGACCAGGACCGCGAAGGAAACAGCCTGGCTCGATGGGCTGGGGGACCGCCCAGCTGGGAACGTGCGCCTTTCACGGCGTTCTTCAGGAAGGTCGAGATCAACGACTTCGCCGGATTGTGTTTGGAGGTTGATGGCCCGGTGGAATATGTCCTAGGTGAGGGGATCAAAGGATGGGAAGATGTCAAAGTCAACGGATGCTACAGGCGGTTCTCGTCCGGGATGTACATCCCCCATGCTGGCTTCCAAGTCCCAACCTCTCGACCTGTGGAGGCACCCTCAGCCTCTTCGGCCAGCAGCAGTCTCTTTTCGAGCGGAGTTCGCAGGCCTGCAGACACTGTATCTAAAACAACCGATGGTGTCCCGGAGAGAACCAACTCTGAGGCTGAGGGAGATGCAGTGGCGGAAAAATTCATGGCCGCGCCCACACAGCCTCGCTGCCGTGCTCTTCCTCGTATGGCTGCTACTGTCTTGGTAGTTCTCACTAACTTCACAAGAAATGAAAGTTCTTTCCTTTAATAATAAGAAAAACTTCCTGTTTCGTTTTCAGATATCCAATTTCTTTGCATGGGGGATGATTTGGTGTGGGGAAAAGTGCATCCGGTGGCATGGTTTATGGATTACACGGCACCAACCTTTTCCTTGACACTCGAGCAACAAATACATGGGTAACGACCATCGGCGGGTCAATATCTATGTGCTGGCGGAAGAAAGATTCCTTTTGTTACATCATCTCGCAAGTGAGCTGAAATGCGGTGGTCGTGGAGTTCGTGTGCCGGGTCAGGCAGGATACAGTTTTCCGAATACTGTCAACCAAGAAACTTGGCAATCGGGATAGTCCTATTTTACTTACTCCGTAGTTTCTTTCTAATAAATAGCAGGGTTCGAAAGTTCTTGTGTGAAATGCGATGGTTGGAAATTGATGATCGCTCTCATTCACACCTTTTACCGCTTGTGACTCCCGAGAATAGAACTCCTCGACAGTAACAAACCATGACGAACAAAGTCGCAATTATCACCGGGGGCTGCTCAGGAATGGGCCTCGAGACAGCGAAACGCCTCGCTCAGACTGGGAAGTGGAAGCTTCACTTGCTTGATTACAATCTAGCAGCAGCCAAGACTGCTCTCGAGGCTATTCCCGGAGCAAAGGCGCACCATGTGAACGTGACCTCATATGATCATCTTGCCTCTGTGTTCCAGTCAGTGTTCGACGCAGAGGGTCAGATTGACTTCGTTTTTGCCAATGCTGGCATTGTGGAGAGGCACAGTTTCTATGAGAAGCAGACGACACAAGGATCCCAGCCTCCTCCAGCTCCAAATACGCTGACGCTCGACATCAACCTTACTGCCGTAGTCTCTACCACACACCTGGCTTTGCACTATTTCAGATTGAGCCCCCACAAGGGGCAGGGTGCTTCCATTGTTATGACAGCAAGCTGTGGTGGTCTAGTAAGTCATGATCACGAGATGGGCAGAAGACGGGAACTTCAGTCGCTGACTTGCCTGATCAGTACCCCAGCGAATATACACCAGTGTACTCGGCGTCCAAGGCTGGCGTAGTGCACTTCGTGCGCAGCATAGCATACTCGTTCCATCAAGAAGGGATCCGGGCGTACTCCATCTGTCCCGGGACGGTGCGGACGAACCTTCTTCTGGCCGACGAGTGGAAATCATTCCCCGAGGAGTACTTCACCCCCATTTCCAAGATTGCCGAGACGGTGGAGATGCTGGTAAATGGCGGGAACATGCAGGACTCGGCCGGGAAGAAGGTCACTGACGAGGATAACTACGGGCTGGCGGTGGAGGTGAACGGGAAAAACCATTACTTCCGGGATCAGGTGCCGTTCTGTGATGAAGCGATGGAGCAAGTGATGACGGCGACGAGCATGAAGAACCAGCAGGCAGTGTTTGATGAGGTGAAGAAAAGGGAGGCAGGGGAAAAGGCCAATTTGTAACAACAGAGATGATATCTTAGCGTTCATGTATTCTTGAGTGTTTGCTCTTCCGGTTCTATTTTGAGCATGTCTGTCTGCTCTGTCCGTGGTTGGGCAAAGGTGTTCTACAGGGTAGGACGCAGGTAATGGGAGCAGCAGCCACGATCGAGATCATATTGCCTGATTAGTGGGTGACATATTAATCTTTTTGTCGCCCTCGTGTGGGGACTCAAGGGACTGTCCTGGAACGGCGAGTGCTCCAGCGTGCTACAGCGCTGACTGGCTGCTTACTTAGTGTTCGGCTCGGTCGCCTCCACTGATCCGGAAACACGCGATGATTCACCTGGCTTACCTAACCTGCTCCCAAGAAATTACAACATTGGACCGTCCAGAGTGTCTGCAATTGGCGCCCAAGCTCGAGGTCGTTGCCCTTACCCTTTGGCAGCATTATGCGATTTGAATTACCGTAATGAACTCATCCAAATGGCGCATCTCCAAAGCGTGCCACGAGTGTCGTGCACGAAAGGTCAGGTGCAACGGCCAGACCCCTTGTGAACGCTGCAAGACCAGAGGCATCGACTGTGTCTATCGGGAGAAGGCGCGCATACGCCAGAAGGCGAGCCAACGGAGTGCGCTGAATGGAGCTGCGGTCGCGAAAACCCAGGCATCCGGACCTGCGCGCTCAACGGCTCCTGTGTCTCAGAATCAAGACGATGACGCCGATGATCTTGAGTCTGAAGCCTCACCAGGCGGCGGCGGCGAGAGCAACTACAACGTCTATAGCGTTGCCGCGACCCATGAGGCATCGCCTTCTTGTCTGATTCAGCTGTACTATGGACCCTCGTCCAACTTCTCTCTTCTGCATTCCATCTATCACCAGATCGAGGGGACGGTGCCGAACACGCCGTCGCGGCAGGGTGTTGAGGAAGTTGGTCCCGGGCTAGATCTATTCAGCCATCGACGCCTGTTCTTTGGTGACCTAGCCGACACAAACCCGCCTTTGCTGAGGTCGGATGACTTTACCGGGATCCTGCTTTCCCCAGCCACTGCGCAGACCTTGTTGGAGAGGTATCTAGATACCTATTGGCATGCGCTACCCTTCATGTCCAAAGAGGAGCATCGCACAAAGCTGGACGAGATGTTTCGCCCCCCAGGAGTGTTCGGTTACGACGATCCAGACTCTATCATTGTCCTCCTGGGTATTTCATTGGGAGCTTATATGCTGGGACAGCACACTGTCTCTGAGTTTCTGTATCAAAAGTCCAGGCAAGGTTCGGAGAAGCTGGAGGAGGTGGTCAACGTCCAGATGGTGCAAGTTTACACTATGATGATAAGTATATACCAGTCCCTGGATCCGGAACTTTGGACTAACTTCCTTGGCAAGCCATTCTCCAGATCGAGAGAGCCCGCCCAAACTCATCTTTTCTTCATCTTGGGTCTGCTGTGCGCCGGGCGTTGGCTATTGGACTGCATAAGGAAGCCATTGCGAGGGGTGGAGAGACGCGGCAGGACATGGAGCAGAAAAGGACTACATTTTGGAGTCTGTTCTTCTGGGAAAGGTATGTAAAAAAAACCTCCTGTAACTTCACATCATCCTTACCTTGATTCTGATCTGCATCTCTTCAGCTGGATTTGCTTCATGATTGGCCGGCCGAGCTCGATCGTCGACGCGGGAACCGCCGTTCCCATGCCGAAGAAGCAGAAGTTCCTGAAATCCATGGTCACGCTATCGCGGATCATGGCAAAATGTACGAATCAGATTTACACCCCACGGCATGATTCGCTTATGCCGATGTGGAACGCGGCCAATGAGATCCGTGAACAATTGCACCGATTTGCAGAGTGTCAACCCCGGGATATGGGGTTCGAGTTGGTCGGCCATACAAAGCCTGGTGAGGAGGGATTCTGTCAAACATTACTTTCGTCTAGTGAGTTTAACCCGCCTGTATCATGTGTATTTGATTGCTCACCGGTGATGCTCGCGCATACAGCATACCATCAAACACTGCTCCTCACGTTTCGACCTTTCCTCATCTTGCGGGGCAAGTTAAGAAGACAGGGGAAATCGCCCGGCACTCCCAGATCTGCCGAGAATCGACCTGCGGCCCCACCACCCTGGTTTGACAAGGCATGCCAGATCTGCCTGGACACCGCCAAAAGCACAATTAATAATATGGCAAATGCCTTGCATACCAATGAGCTTTGCAAGGTAAGCTTCCCCTGTTCCCCGGCAAGGCCGAGAAGACTCACTCTCTGACCACCATGCTACAGGGTGTTAAGTATCAAAACTACTTCGTTGAGGGTGCTTGCTACGTGTTGGCACTGGACCTACTTCAAGAACCCTATGGATCTAATCGAGATCTAAGATGGATCCGCACTGGACTGAGATGCCTTCAGGCGTTGCTTCCTAACATTCCGGGAAATAACACGCAGACCCCTACTACGATTGCCGCTATTGTCCGCATGGTACGGTGCGTGGTACCTGACTTTGAGATAGCCAACAACGCTGGCCCGGATATAGGACTCGGCCTGTGGGGGCAGAACTCGCCGTCAATCGTGCCCGACCCAACGACACCGATGACCAATGTCAGCACGGCATTTGCCTATCCTTCGATGCCGCTATCCTCCGACTTTGCTCCTTTGGGTCCGAATGACGCATTTCCAGGGGGGTTTTCCGACTTTACAGCTGCCGACCTGGGTCTTAATTTCGACTTTGGCACTATGGATATGGATGCCTTCTTATCAATCGACACGAATCCAGCCTGGGACTTGAAATAATGGAAATAATCGCCTATCTTGCCTATATCCGGCTCAACGTGGAGCAATCATCTTGGAATCTTGGGAAGTTTCGGATTCATTGGACGTGTACCACGTAATACCGTCCATCCGCGTTGTCTTACCTACCCCGGCAGTACCGCACGAAACGGTTTAGAAGCGTTCTCATTTGTATCGGATCCCCGCTAGTGGTAGTTTTTTTGTAATATGCTAGGAGTGAGTGGCACTGCTTTGAGTAAGTTGGTCCGGCACTGCTGGAAATACGGAGTAACGGATATAGAGGAGTTGTACCGGATTGCCGCCTTCATTGAAGGTCTTGATATAATATATATGGGAAGAGTCCAATTGTAAGCGTAGGGAAAAAAAATCGAGCACCAGTAAAGCTTCAAGGCCAATCTTGTAGAGGCATTCTCGAAAATCTCTAGATCACTAGATTTTGGTGCAGTAAAAATGGGGATACCACGAGCTGAGGAGGGTGGTTCCCCGGCTGTGAACGAGGTGCCAGCGACCAGTCAGGAGAGCACAACGGCTACATCGTCATCTTCTTCCAGCGATACTGAAAACCAAGAGAATGCCCTCGAGGAGGTCAAAAGTCGGGATTTCGTCCCAAAACGGCTAACCCTTTCGTTCAAGGACTTGACTGTCCGGGTGACAGCATCCAGCGAAGCCTTGGGAGAAACTCTTTGGTCAAGAGTCGATCCTGGTCAACTCAAGTCCTTTTTCACGAGGAAAACACCACGGAGAGTGAGTTTATCTGCCCTGAGTTTTCATTTTATTATTAATATCCTATGCCAGGCTATTCTGAACAAT